ACGGAATATCCCAAATAAACAGCCGTTAACCGAAAATTCGTTGACATTCTTCGTGGATTGAAAGGTGAGGAGATTTAAGATAGGATCGACTAAAGGATGAAAGTAGTGCTAAAGAGAAGCTTCCCAACTATTTCTGGTGTATAACATCAGATATTCTTTAAATAAATTGAGAGTTGATCAGTACCCTTCAAAAGTCACCTCTAAATGTATTTACGAATTTACATTTACTTGTGAAAGCATGGGAAGAAATGAAAGAATGGCATCCAAAAGATTTTGCGATCATACTCACTGTAAGTTGAGTGTAAATGATAGTAAAGTATTCAGAAGGATGATTACTAAACATTTAATACATAGTGAGCACAACTTGAGTGTCTCAGACGCGTATCATATAATTTTACACCAAACACTTTCAACCTCACGCTAACACATAGAAGGAAAGCGTGGTAAACTTTTTATTCTCATTGGTAATATGTATTATTTTAACGTTTGTTAGTTACATTATTTCTTCATTATGGTTTATAAATCCCACTGACATTCATTCAAAACATTAACTTTAAAGTTATGTTAAACAGATGCCTCGATTATCACTGATTTGTTTTCTTTTTTTTTTTAAAAATTCATTGTCTCTTTATTACCACTTGTAACTTCCTTCACTACTCCCTATTTCATGATTCCATTTACAGCATATATATGTACTAATCAATCTCAACTATGTTAAATATGTACTTTGTTTTAGTTACTTATGGCGTTTCCAACTAAACTTTATTGATTATGGTATAAAATTAAAAAAAAATTTCTTACAGAATAATCTCACCAACACTATGAATGTTCTTTAACTAATCTTTACATACTATAATTTTCAACGATACAGTTGTCATGGAAAAAATCTTTTCTCTTTTTTACCAGTAAGGCGGAAATTATTGTGTGTTCACTTAAAGTCGTTCAGCCCAAATAAGATTAAAATTTATATTCATTCACTAAAACATAGGGGAAATAAGGGAGAGAGAAAGAGAGTAATTCATTTATTGATTAAAATTAAAAGTGATTGAAGTAGTTTTTAAAAAAAAGTTATTTTGAACTTATAATCAACTTGATAATGCTTAGTTCGATAGTAAAAGCCATTATCACACAGTCCTCAAATGCCCTGGTACGGCCGAGAGTGGAGAGAGTCAACTCGCCCTCTCGAAATGCTCTCACATGACCACGTGCATACAATCACTGACAGGGAAGTCCTACTCACTGCCTTCTCGTGGCAAGGGTGTTGTTTACAAAATTGAGAGGACGATAAGCGAATATCCGGTGCTTTAACCGGATCGGTAGATATGGAGGATCCACCAAGGGTAGTTGGAAAACCCTTATTCCAAACCAATGGTGCACATGGACTCCAGTATCCTGAAGAAACAAATGGCGTATGAACCAATTTCTTGGTCACCGGCTGCCATGGGACTGCATCTCCTTACTATGCTCCACTGCTTTGTGAATCAAACCTTTGAGTCAAAGGCTCAGGGCGAGGCCTGCTAATAAAACCACCTGCTTCGATTTGGTCACCCGGGCAGTATTCCAGTCCTCACACAAATCGAATGATTTATGTGGCGCATATCTTCTTGGTGCTTCCTTGTATTAATGTTTAATTGTGAATAAATAAATAAAATAATAGATACCAAAATTTACAAATACTTCATTACATGTCCAGAGGTTGTAGGTAGAAGACAGAATATCTTGACCCTAGGTTTTATTCTAGTTAGCATTTATTATTAAGATGTACCTGTAATCTTGACGGAATCAATACTGCATGTACAATTACAAACTTGTATTATCCAGGTTTAGAGTTTGGAATGTCATCAATGAGTTATTCGGAGAGCGAATGACCTCTAGCTGGACTAAGATATTTATAATTGATTAACTACTGAATGGTGACCGATATCATGCTTATCTAGTCCTTTATTGTTAAATGAATCTTATCGATTAAATTGTACTACATAAACACAATTTTGAGTTAGGTAATTAACAAGTTAAAATAGAACATTTTCTATAACTAATTATCACAATCATCCAATACATATAAAGTCTACTGAAAATTAAAAGTGGCTACTTTAACATGAAATTTTACACTTCAAAATATGAATGAATAACTTTAATGACCAGTTGTCAAAAAAATTATCTAAGATTTCAAAGTTCATTCTCAGATAAATTGATTAACTATTTCTTAACTTCATTAACCAAGTACAAACTTGTGTATTTGATTTTGAGTAACACTCAAAGTGTATGGGTTACCCAGTGACCCAAACAGAAGTAGACAAAATGAGATCCGAACTTTCAACTGAAGGTTGAACGCTTTAAACATTAAACCACCACTTCCTACATGAATGCATTACTATTTTCCAGAATTTCCATTTCAACAACATTAAACCTAAAAACTATACATTACAAAAGAGATATATGATTGGCCTACTTTAACACTCTTGATACTTACTTAGGTTACATATATATATCTTTTGACATAATAAAATCATTTACTTCGATATTCTTTCTTCATTCAATAAACTGTTGATTATGATCAGATAAAATGGACTTAATCAAACAATGATCCGGAAAACTTGATACTATTGAAATTTGTCATACTGATACGTGTCAATTATTATCATTTTTCTCTTACGTAACAGAATAAACTTTTCATGTTTGTTTCTTTTCTTTCTTACTTTGACCATATGTTTGAAATATTTATGTGTATCACACAATTATTAGTTTAAAATAAGTGACGAAATCTATCGTTAAACTAATTATCTAATTAACTAAGAATACAATACTCTTGAATAACTTTCTTTGACATGAATATCGCAGATATTGATCGGTTGATAATGTTTGAAACAACTGAATGATTTTTCATCTAACCACCAACAACGTTGAAATCGTAGACTGACTGGGATGGGAATAGAATAAAAGAAGGCTATAAGTATCCAAATCTGTAGCCTCCATCAATCCATGTGGTTACCGATCTGATCTGTTCTGCTAAGCGATCACAATAAAACAGGTTCTATGTGACAACTATGATCATTGACTCAGAACGAATGACGTTGGAGTGTAACGGAAACATTAAATACTTTTTTAACCTACCCCTAATATTCTGTTTCGTGAATATCTCATACTTTTTACTTTAATAATGTGCTGAGGAAACTTGAAAAGGTGTACACATCACTTAAGTCATGTCTTCTAATGAAAATAAGCAAACGTATAATCAAATGAGAATGGGATACGTACTTATAAAGAGCTTCGAAATCGGTCTGACCCATTGAGTTGAGTTCTTAAATAAGAGTTTGTGACACAGGTATACGCTATGTACTACAAATGATATAAGATAAAATCAATTGTAGTGATGTAAAGTATTATCGGTTTATAAGAAATGGCTACTGGATTACTCCTAACGTGTTCTCTTTGTGTTTTTATTCTACATAACTACTGTTGCTTTTACTAATAGACTCATTCTTTGATTTTACAGTTAATTACATCCACTAAATTTATTGATTTGAAGCATATATTAGTGAAGGTGTTTGCACAATAACGTGGATTGATTGAAGTTAGACTATCACACTAGTGGTATAGATATTAAGCTTTCGAACGTGAGGTACTGATTTCTATTATTCCTCCTTGAGAAGTTGAAGATGGGCACGACTGAAAACTCTCCTACTGAAACGAAGTGATCGCCCAGTGTTTCCAGTTTTCTAGTGGTTGTTTTACTTAGATCGGGACGTGATCTAAATAAAATCTCCCAGAACTTCATACTGATCATTATAGAAAATATTGAAATGTTTTTAGTCTACCACGGATACATTTGATAGATTTTACCTAGAAATCCCGTCAGTCTAATTATGATATTTTTCTAAATGTTACACAATGATGATCACCAAAAAAAACGAACAATTTCATCAACAACAAATACATCTACAAGACAACTTCTTATTCAAATATTCATTCATTATCTTAAAATGTAACACAATATAACACTACATTGAAAACAATTTCTTTATGACATAAAATTAGAACAAATAACCATTATCCCATTGGTACCACTTGAAAAAAAAATTCTCAATTCATATTTCATGTACAAAAATTAATAAGATGTAGAATATACTAAGAAGTAATTATCATTAATAAAAACATTAACTGATAAACAAATGAATTATTATTTAAAAACAAAAGAATGAATAAATAACTCGATAATACCTTACCTAGCAAATATACTCTGTGACGTAAAGGTTGTTAGAGTTAACCTAGTCAATAACCTGCATTCTTAACATGTCTCTAATTTGAAAAGTTGCACAGTTTTTCGGGTTTTCTTTTAACCTTTTTCTCCCTTTTTTTGTCTTTGTCACGGTTTTTTTTGCGCAAGTAACTTGCTAAAATACCCTGTGCTGAGAATTTTATATTGTACCAAAATATAATATTGAATAAAGCCATTAATAATAATAATAATAATAATAATAATAATAATAATAATAATAATAATAATAATAATAACTTTTCACCATTTACCTGGGTATTTAGGTAACAAAATCAACTTCAAAAACCATAGCAACAAATCATATTTTAATCACTCAGTGAAAAATCAAAACGATTGAAACAAATATTACGTAACATTTGTTGTGAAAAAAAAACAAAAAAAAAACATAAAACAAATATCGACATTATTTTTTTAAAAAATAAGTTTGTCATGATCTACAAACAAAAAAAAGGAAAGTGTACTTATGCAACACATAATGAAGCATGAGTAGTGTGTAAGTGGAATAGGGAAATATTAATCTTTCTGAATCAGGTATATACACATATAAACGAGAACATCAATTATACGAGAGAAAGCGATAAAAAAGAACAAGTCAAGGGAGACCTGACTCTTACGAGAAAAAAATTAAAATAATGTGAAAAAATATGGTTTCTAAGGAAACAAATATCAAAAACAGTAATAATTAGTGTTTGTATTAGAAATTATAGAAAATACTTTCTCACTAAGCACTTAATTGTGATTTATAAGATAATGATGAAATAGTATCTAATGTTGATCCATTTGATTCATCGCTAGTTTCTGGCAAATATTTATGCACATAAACCATAGATATTAAACAACATATAGAAAATATGACAAATACTATGGCAGGATTAATTGAATTACCAGTTATTTCAAATAGTTCTGTTATTATAAAAGCAAAGATCCAATTGATAGCGATAGCAGCACTGACAGCATTTCCACGACTACTAACTGGAAATAATTCCATGCTAATAAGTACTGGTAATGGTCCCCAGCCAAATGAATAACCAAACATAAATAAAATAATCCAAAACTGACCAAGTTCATCAATGTATGAATAAGCCTGGAAGAGGACAGTGGAAATGGTAGAATAATTGTTATTACAATTTAAAAGACAAATATTATTAAAGGAATATTAACCTAGTCCTATAGCAGTTAAGGAACTCAATGGGTTTCTATGTTATACTGTCAGACTTGTGAAAGCAAATGCGAAAATCAATTTTATGAAAAGCTGTATAGATAAACACGAATATCTGAAACCATTTTTGAAAACACTCCGTCGAAATCACACCCATCCTAACTATCGGTCACTCAGTCACTTAATATTGAACCATATCGATGCGGCAAACTCCAGGTTGCCTGAAGCGAGACGTAATACTGTATTGAGAGCAAATGCATTATACGAATTATAAAGTGACGAATGCGGAAGGTTTAAAGAATATGTCTATATAGTCGCGAAGCAACACTGAAAACATGAATTAAAAATTAAAAACAAAATGAGTCAACAAAACCTTTCTAGAATCTGCTGAGAAATATGTTTTCAACTATTCTAATGCATAAGCGTCCACGTTAAAAATACAAGCACTGTCACTTGGTCCAAAACTTTGTGATACTTCTGAGAAAATTGGTGAACAAACAAAAATACAATTTGAAATCTGATGGAACAAACATTTGACTTGACCTCAGTTCCTAACAATCATTTTGAGGAACTAAATCAACAATTACTAATTGTTTCCATCAATACACCGATTGGCAAACATCAACGAAACGGTTCCTATCAAAGGAGCATAAATATCAAATGAACATTTAAAGAATAAGGATTTATCATTACTCCGTCTAGATAAAGGAGCTGGGATTGTTCCGATGGCTCGAAAGGACTATATTGAGAAATTATCCACAATACTTAATAATTCGGAAAAATTTTCTAAAGGACCAACTGAAAAAGATGCCACCGATCAATTCGAACTTAAACTGGCTACAATACTGAAAAAGATATAGAATTAATCAACCATCGGCGACGGCCTATTCACAGGTTTAAAGCCATCAGGTTCTACAATCCCACAATTGTATGGCCCCCCATATGTACATAAAAAAATTCTCCTTCCTCGTCCGATAATGGATCAGAAAAATTCCCTATACCACCCAACTGTCAAATGGCTGGTGAAAATCCTACTATCAGTCAGAAATCGGATCTGCAAGTATGGCGTTTCAGACTTTCGATTTGGTGAAACTAGTAACCAACGTCGAAGTATCAGAAAGAAAGTCTTCGTAAAAGAGCTATACTGCACTTCAAAATGCAATTTAAGTTAAACGATGACATCTATAAATAAATAAATAGTGTCACAATGGGATCTCCATTGGATCCTCTCCCAGCAGACTATTTTATGCCTAATATAAAGAACATTACCCTTTGATTAACAAGTGGTAAATTTCATTCCAAAAAGATATGTATAGGGAGGATAGTTTTATAATATGTGACCAAGGCAGCGACCCTAATAGAATATTACAAGGATTCGATAATTGTTAGAACTCAATTACGGTCACAATAGAAGCCGAGTTGAACTCAGAATTCCACTTTCTTGATTTTCTACTGAAACAAGGATCAGATGAGTATCTACAACGATCGATATACAAAAAGCCAAACTGTAAGGCGCAGTATACGAACTTCCAGAGCTGGGTGACCTTGAGTAAGAAGAAAATTTAGTCCATTCTCTATCCTCGCAAGCCAGATGAATATGCACTGAAGGCATACCTGATGATGGGCTGAATATAATCCGACAAACACTTGTGGAGAATGGCTCCACAACTAAAATCATTGATAGTAAACTAAAATCGAAAAGTCAAGTTGAAAGCACTCCCACTGTTCAGAAGAAAGTTTTATTCCCGAACATCGAATTTAAGGGAGATACGGCAGCTGATATATTAAAGATTAGACTATTCAGATTACTGAGAAAGAAGTTTTATTCAGTAGAGCTCCGATCTGTTTCATATAGAAAGGAACTCGTTCAGAGGAGTATCAAGAGCGAACTTTCGCTTTGGGTCACCTCAATATTCATCTATTAGCTTACTTGCTCTTGTGGAGCAGGTCATATTCGTCATATAATCAGCGCACTTGCCAAACAAATATTTGACCACGAATCTGCATGACCATCTAAAGGGGAATACAAATCGATCAACAGCTCAGACCTTGAACATATGCTTAACTGTGGTCACATCCCACCACGAAAATCGTCGTTCAAAATCCTTTACAATGTAAGAACATGCTCAAAATAAATTCGGACGAGGAATTTAGGCACAACAGATGCTACGGAAATTCACCATTTCAAACCCGAACTCTTTATACAGAAGAGTCATTTTCAACCTCTCATACTCCCATGACCTTAGCAGCCCTTTAACTCTACAAATTATGGGTGTTAATCATTATCTTTTTTTACTTCATTAGGTAGACAATTGTTTTCAGCTATTACTCTATAGATTACTACCTCTTATAACTTCAAAAACAATGTAAGCACTTGATTTTTGATTACTTTTCTAAATGGTGCAACATTTTTTATTCAATAACTTTAATCACATTGAAATAACACCCTTCTATCTATAAATTATTATTCTCAATACTTGAAGAAATCTCCGATAATCTTTACTATATTATGCAACATCACTTCGTTTTCATTGACTTCTATCTGAATAAGTTTGCCTTTCCATCTCTTGAAATAACTCATAGATTATTAAATAAAACCAACTTCGTCAAGATTTTGTTGAAGTAGTGTCTAAAATATAACTGAATTTATGCATTAATAAAGACACAGCTAACAATTTATCACTGTAATGTTGATACATTTTTATTATATCATTTCCAGATATTTTTCTTAATATTGATAGTATTTGTAATTTCCTATACAATCTTCACTAAGCTAACTATCATATCATCCACCTTAACATTATCTTTTAACTCATCTGTGATTTTTAATTATCGAATTCATGAAACTTATGTAGACTCTTTAAATCCTTCAAAATTATTACGTAACAAATCTTGTAAATTCTTGCTATCTAGATAATTGGTTCTTTTTCTAAATTAAAATTAAACAAGTTTGCATCCACAATTTCAGTCAGAGATCAAGCCCAGGGCCCTCAGGTCTTACCATAAGTACTTACCGCTTAGACTATTTAAACCGTATCCACTAGCTTATACGTGCAATTTAAATCATTACGCGATAATTTACAATCATATTCCAAAGTCAACGAGGGGTAAATGCCTTACACTAAACATGGTTGAACTTAATTGGTCACGACGCCTCACTAGTACTTCGGGAATTAACTCTCGAAATTAGTCACCAACGAGGAAATGATAATTGTCAGTACTGCAGGTCTGTGGATAGTGTTGAATTTTCCAATTAAAATCACGGAATAATTTTATTTACAAAACTATTTGGTTTGATTTGATTTGAACACATAAACATTGGTACAAAGAGGCACCAGATACATATGCGCCACATAAATCCCATTTGACGTGTGTGAGGGCTGTGATAGTGCCCGGGTGACCAAATCGAAGCAGGTGGTTTTATTAGTAGGCCACACTCAAAGCCTTTGACTCAAAGGTTTGATTCACAAAGCAGTGGAGCATAGTAAGGAGATGCAGTCCCATGGCAGCCGGTGACCAAGAAATTGGTTCATACGCCATTTGTTTCTACAGGATACTGGAGTCCATGCGCATCATTGGTTTGGAATAAGGGTTTTCCAACTACCCTTGGTGGACTCTCTGTGTCCACCAATCCGGTTAAAGCGCCGGACATTCGCTTATCGTCCTCTCAATTTTGTAAACAACACCCTTGCCACGAGAAGGCAGTGAGTAGGACTTCCCTGTCAGTGATTGTATGCACGTGGTCATGTGAGAGCATTTCGAGAGGGAGAGTTGACTCTCTCCACTCTCGGCCGTACCAGGGCATTTGGGGGCAGCTGTCTTGTCCTGGTAAGGGACTCCTTAGCACTCCCCTTATATGACCATGCTGAGGATAGGATCGAGGTACTTCACGTCTCACAGCGAGCATTCATAAAACTGAAAGTTTTAAATTCCATTAATTGTTTACTGCTTCACTGTTGTTTGACTAAGGTCAATTCGTGATGTAACAGTCAGCAATTTCCACTAACCCACTACATTATAAACACAACAAAAGAATTATGTGTAAGATCGCAGAAATCACAATTGATTGACTACTGGTGACCAATGTCATGTGTGTCAAGTCCTTATTAGTGCAGATCGAATACTATCGGCCATGATGCAATGCGGCCACCAGTCTAGGTGACTCGACACTGCGTGAACTATCGGGTTTCCTGTCGACTACCTCCAACCACCATCTAATCTCAACATAGTGCACGCAGTGTCGAGTCACCTAGACTGGTATCCACATTGCATCATGGTCGATAGCATTCGATTTGCACTAATAAGGACTTGACACACATGACATTGGTCACCACCCAGTGATCAACCAACTGTGATTATATCTCAGTCCTACAGGAGGTTGGTCGCGGCCCGGATAGCTCAGTGGTAACGTCTCTGACTGTGAAGCTGGGTCACACGGGATCGAATCCGTCAGGGATCACCAGTTTCCTCAAGATTACAGGTACATCTTGCTGACGAGTGCCAAGTAGCACGAAAACCGGGTCCAGGGTTTCCTGTCAACTACCTCCAACCACCATCTAAGATCGCGAAAATCCTGCTAATTGTCCTTCTGTTAATAAGAATATTTCATGCTTGACGATGTGGGATTATGAACAAACTTTCTTGAGAACAAATTTCCATCTAGAAACAGGAGGGTTAAGCAAGATTACGTGCACTTCAAGAACTTTTTTGAGTTTCACTATACAAAAAAATATACTGATTGTACAATGAAGGTTCTCATTGCTTTTGATAAATATGGCGCAACTGTAGTAATATTAATATCATAATTTGCAAGGTGGCTGATTCAAGGTAAATAACTTGTTAATATATTTCATAATGCATTTGGTAGGCATTATCGGCGCATTGTTAGTGAACATGCAATGTTTTGAGGATAGAAAGTCATCAGTTATTCAGTCACAACGTAGAAACTGGTTCGTATGTACATCGATAAATTTATCATACCCAATTAGCACTGAGAGAAACTGTCAGGCTAAATACCAGAATAGTAGAGGTAGTAACATTATCAGTAGTAAGAAAATAGATTAGGTATCAAAGATACGATTCGAAAAAAAATAAATTCGTGAAACAAAAACAAAGAAAGTAATGAGGAACATAAAATCTCAGAATTCGGGGAAAGACAAGCAGTGGATGCACCTGAGCGGGGTTATGAGTCATATCATTCAAAGTCTATACGTATTGGTTACGATAATCACACGGACCCCAACCAGGTAGTCTACACCTATTAACATAGCTGAGTTAAATTGTCAGTGACTTCATGGACAGGTGACATGTTTCCGTCTGGACGCCCCTAGCTTTCTTCCAACCTACTCTTATACTAGAAAACATTGTTCGTCGAAGTAGGCGGTGGTCGTGTATACGTAACACATGTCCCAACCACCTCAGTTAATGAAGATTTACTACCTCATCAATCGATTTACCATATTTACCAAGTACTCTATTACTAGATAATTTCATATAAAACGAAAAGAAATAGACCTTATGAATTTAAACCTTTAAGTAATTTATACTGTTCGCAAAAAATCATTAAATTCTCCATTTACATAGTTAAGATCATCATTAGAAGAGTCGTAGCACAAAATACTCCATGATCAACCTGGAATTTTTCAAACCAAACAATTAAATCCGCTAAGCAATCTAAGTTCAAGCTTAAATGCTTAATGTTATGTTCATCCGGAAATATTTTGATTTTAGGCTCACATCGTGACCATCTGAACATGTATATATCCCATCTACAGAAATTGAAGAAATCACCAGTGATATACATGACACAACCCATAGTTTAATGGGCAGATATACAAGGACTTCTCTTTACTTAAATTTTTCATAAAATATCATGACTGTAAATTTTGTTAGCATTCTCGACTATGGTAAGAAAATGTTATTTGTGCATTCAAAACATAAGAGTCTCTTTTTAAGAGATCCATCGCTAAAATTGGTACTGAAGGTTTTCAAGACCACTACTGGTTGGTTTTAATTCAAATAAACACTCAACAAAAGAACTCAAAAATTTACGACAGTTTTAATTATATAGAAAACTACTTGTTTACCTGCTTTACGTTTGAAGAATGAGAACGTTAACTTTTTCACTATGTACTTTATAGTTCCATTTAAACACAATTGAGCTTCCCTTTAACAAACAATATTCTTAGAAACGTAGAGAATGTATCTAGAGAATATCTTTGTTTATTCGTTTAGAAACATGTAAAAAACAATTTGATAGTGAAGATGGATGAAACATATCATGAGAATATCCTTAACATATTTATATTAATAATAAAGTGATGTTATTGGATAAAAAGAAAACATAAATTATTTCACAGTCAACTTACAGAAATTGTAATGCTGTAGGCTAGTAAAGCTATAACCATGATAAAGGCACTAAACTGAAGCAACGTTTTTCGACGCACGTGATTGATAACAAAAGCTGCTAAAATAGTGAATATCATTTGAAAAAAGCCTATAGAAAAGGCACAAATAGGAGGTGATTTTGCATTTCCAATGAGACAAACTGATTCAGCAAAAAAGAGGATAGCATTTACACCAGTTAACTGTTGAAATATCATGAGGGCTGTAGCCATTCGTAATTGAGGTTGTTGACTTGACGGAACAAGTGAACATGGAAAGATATAATGCCATAATGAGTGGTGTTTTGTTTCACTATTGGTTATACTTTCGTTTAAATCGATCGTGTCCGCGGAATGTCCACTGACCTTACGAAATAAAACACAAGATTGACATGGGCAGCATTGCGAGATTTAAAAAGTAACTTAATCCCAATAAACATTGTTGGGCTATTCCTATAAAACTCATAAAATTGTTAGCATTTCAAAACAGGCTATAAAAAAGAAGTAGAATCAAATTTATGTATGTAACCAAATATATTTCCTACTTAAATTCAAGAAAAAGCAGGCCTTTTACAGACTATAAATTGGATCAAAATCATTGTCAACAAGCACTACCTGTTTCAAGTTATAAAATTAATAACTTGAATAGTAGCTTAATAAATTTTATGAAAACTATCAGCTTCATGAGACATTTGAAAGTACAATCCCTCTATAATTCCCTAGCGAACGGCTAACATTACTTTTCTCTACAGCCAAATACTTTGTCAACTATAAGATATCAGTTTGTGCTGACAGTGTATTCACAAACATTTGGGCTTTAATGTTATAATAACTGTAATATTGTGATCTACTGCCGCAACACACAACGATAGTAGATGTTTAAATTACAGTTCGACATTAATTAATGCACTAGGATTATCAAAATGCTACCAACAAGTTGTTTATGCCATGTAAATCCGCAAATCAGGTTTCTTTTAGATGCTTTTTAAAAGCCTGATGTTAAATTTATTTGAAGATGTTTCTTTTTAAGAAATTTCGAGAATACAAAACATAACAAAGTTAAATCTTATATAATTCACGGAATTCTCAGTTCACATTAACAAATCTTCTTTTCCGTTTAATTCCGATTGTTCTTCATCAGTAATATCACTTAGAACGCTTTGACACATAATTACAACAAAAGCAATGTTATCCCAGTGTTTTTATTGGAATCTCATCATGTGATAAAATATTTAAATAGATTGCATTTGATAAAATTTGAATAATTAAATGTATATATAATAATTTGATTGAAAATGGATACGAATTTTCCACAGATACTTTGGACAGTCTTATTAGGCAATTAGCAGTAAACTGGAATACTTATGAAAACAAATTCTTCCTATATCCCGTCTCGAAATATAAAAACTGCATCACAAAGTAATATGCTATAATTTTTTCCACTTATGAAATTCTACTTTGAAAAAAGAAGCTTTCAACTTCAGCTAATTAACTGTTAGCTTTTAAATGAATTGGAACGCGCTTCCCAAGATCAAAATTTACGAGTAAATAGAAATTAATGGAGGAAATGATTCTATAAATTTCCAGTAATGTTAGGATGAAAATACGTACGAAGATAAATCAGGCCATCATAAACAAAACCCAATGAAGTACACTAAATTAAATAATAGTTCAAAACAACGTTGTATTGCGTAATCTGGATGATCAGAATAAATGTGAGTTGATATTGATTCAACTCGTAGGTATAAAAATGTAAATGTACTAGGTAATACGATTTACATAAGACTTACTATCCCAAACAACTGTATGCTAATACTGTTAGCCTCGTGAATACGGCCAGCTTTTCGAAGCCATTTCGGAGATTCTGGGAGAAGCCATACGAGAATTAGTATGACGCTGGAGAAAATGGTATTTATTAGGGCGATTTGTTCCCAGAGCGTAAACATAGCCATGAAAAAAGATATACAAATCCCTGTGACTATTCCAACTTGAGGTAATGAACCAACTATACCACGAATTTTAGTTGGAGATATTTCTAACATATATGTGGCAGAAGATGGAATACATAATCCCGCCCCAAATCCAGTTAAAAGACGACCAAAAACAAATAAATTTGTTGGGAAGGCATTTTGATATATTACGTCAGAACATAGATACATCCATAACCAGCCTAACACAGTAGGAATACAAGATACCAAAAGAGTAAAACGTCTTCCAGCAGTTGACAACATACGCGCTGATAGCAACCCGCCTAAAAGACCACCAATGTTCAATGAACTGGCGAAAATCGCAGATTTCCAGATCGTAAAGTACACTTGGAGAGTGCATGCCGAAGAAAAACCGAACGCTAAACCTAAAATTTAAAGGATTACAAGTTTGTAACTGTCAAGTCTCGAATGCAAGACGTAAAATTACATCTAATTACACATAAGAACATAATATATCATATCTTCATGTATCTGTAGATAGACGATAATTCAAAGTCAATCAGCTAAATTATGCTAGGTTGTCTTAAATCTGCATCACATATTGGAAAACGATGACTCAGTATCTAATAGATTCGTCATATTTACATAAAATTAGTAGAATAAGTAGTTTGCATAAATGATGACTTAAATCAGGTTTCAAGAATAAATACATAATTTATCAAACTCATGGTAAGAAATTGAGGATAGCTGACGAAATTTACGGGAATTCGGTTGGTGTCGAAAGTGACAAACTGATTAGATATTTAGTAACCTGATATAAAGACGTATTGAACTTCAGCTTATGCAAATGACAATGTTTCAATGTACTTAAAATAGCTGACGGAATCAAGATATTTAGAGCTTTGTTCAAATAAGGTGAACAATTTTCTTTTATCTTGTATGAACTTCACATGAAGAAAACACATGCTGGAACTATAACAAGTTTTCCGTAAATTAGTCTTTTCAAGTATCCACAAAACTACCCGGAATACTTTGTAGAATAGTATCAACAATCAGTTAGCACTGTCTCCCTAACTAAATCCACATATATATACTTCCGTTCGGGTCTCCGTTTTGATATAGTAATTACTTTGCAGTTTTAACCATCCAAAGTGAAGCAACTTTAAAAGATTTCAACCAGTAAACTTCGTATATCTTCCCAGCAAATTTCAATTAATTATGAGGATCATTTAGTAGTACGGTGTCCTCAAGCTTGATATTAAAAAAAAGCTTTAAAAAGCCCGTGTTTGAGGAGAAAATGTATGGAAAAAACAACACTGCATTTGACAACTGAGAGTCGCTTGTCAAATTTGTACATTCAGTAACAATAGAATTAGTGTTAGTAAGGTTTTTGAGAAGTATGGCATATCGGTCATAGACTTCAAAAACAATAGACTTCAAAACATTCTGTGACACCATATCAAGAGGAACTCATACACAAAGGTTTTATGATTTATGTTCAATTAACACGAACAATTACCTTGTCCACAATCGGGATTGATATATGGGTGTTAAAAAACTAAGACGTCATCTTTATACCACATATATTTAGCTTTTTTAATGTGGACGTAACAGCTTTATGTGGTGTGTTCAAAAATTATTAGGTTATAAACCCGATAACAGATGCCTATAACGGGAACAGTGTGAGAAACAAACTGAAATTCCATCAGAAGACATGAACTTGTTCAGATTTTTATTGCACTTAAAACGTAACTATTTCAGGTTGAAAGCGGCTTATGATTTTTATATTAGAAACGACTCATATTTGCAAAAATGTACTTTGTCCCACCAATTTTTGGTTAATAAGAAGTCATGCTTCCTGGTTTCAACATAACTAATAGAAATCCATAAAACTTAGTAATCTATACCGCACAATTTTTGATATGCATTATAAAGGTCTTATGACAGTTTGAGGAGCTACGACGATGCCCTGGTACGGAAGAGGGTTGAGAGAATCAGCTCTCCTCAAAATGCTATTACATAGCCATGCGTATATAGTCTCTGCCAGGAAGTCCTACTTACTGCCTTCTCGTGGCGGAGGTACTGTTTACGAAATTGAGAAAAGCGAACGTCCGGCGCTTTAATCGGATTGGTGGACTCGGAAAGTTCATCCAGGAGTTTTGAAAAACCCTGATTCCAAATCAATGGAGTACATGGGCTCCAGTATCCTGAAGGAAAAATGGCGTATGAACCGATTATTGGTCACCGGCTACCATGAGAATGGATCTCCTAACGTTGCTCCACAGAATCGTGGATTAGACCTTTAGGTCAAAGGCTCTGTTTGTGACCCCCTGAGAAAACCACCTGCTTCCGTTTGGACACCCGGATACTATCAAAACTCACAGAAAAACCAAGCAGCTTGTGTGGCGCATATGTATCTGGTGCCCCTTTATACCAATATTTGTGTTCAAATAAATAACAACACTACGAGTATGCTTGTATATCTTGAATATGTTTGTTGTTTGAGATATCGAGTTATTTTTACATAAGATATTTTGTCTGATTAACATAACTGGAAACAATTATGTGTAGAATTTACGGAATCGTACAAATATTCCGTTAAGAGCAAGACCTGACATTTTGTTGATACGTATAACTTGAGAAAATACAATTATCTCCCCTCTCCTATTTACAAAATGGTAATTGGTATTCGGAATTGTAATAATCGATATATAAAAAGGAATTTTGAAAGTACGAATACCAGCTTATTAAATAACCGCAGTAAATAATTTAGATTTAAAAGGTAGATTATATGGGCTTGAAAATGACAGTAGTTGTGATACGTCAAAATAAATTCTTACCGGGCGTTATAGAACTTAACGTTGACGCAATAATAACAAATGAGCTAGTTATACGACAATTCACAATCGACGGCATGAATGCAACGTATGATTTGAAGATTATGAGCCACGATGACAGAGCACAAATACCTAAAGAAGAAAAGTATAACCTAACGAAAACATTGGAAACAAAAATACCGCAAGCGAATATGAAAAGACCTTGAGAATGTTCACGCAAAAACTACAGACAAACCAGAGTTATAAACTAGTGTGAAGGAAGGTGCAAATATAAAAGTTAATTACTTACCAATAATTGACTTTCAGATTACTGCTAGTGATTTATAGATGACGGTTTTATCGCGAGTGTTAACTTTCAGACATGTGTTAAATTGACTATCAGTTGCTCCAAAAATTGGCTATGCTTTTCTGATCGTATTCGAACTACCACTTAACCAAAATGTTTTGGAACACAAAAACCTGATAAGCGAAGAAATGTCGCGGTATTACATAGGTCATCTGAACCATCAATGGTGTAAAAAAACAAATTCTGAAAGTGAATCTGATATGCCTTTGTTGTTTTGCAAACTATGGATAACTATAGCATGTTTAAAGCAGGAATAGCATTTTAAAGTGTACAGTATGTCGAAAATACTCAAAAATGTATTTGTTCAACTGACATCTACCAAGAATAGTCCTGCCAGGCTGCACTTATGATCAAATTATAGTTTGGTCACAACTCAAGCTCGGTCCTCTAATGCCTGAGGAGTTCGCACAACAAGTCCATGTCACTCGCATAAAGAGCTGGTAAAATGGTGTGAGTATCACAATGCTTACGATGATAATAAAAACTATGGATTTATATCATATAGTCCATTTAAAAAAAATTGTCCAACTGTTATCTAGTCTAATGTGATGTAGATCACCAACGTAGATGATCTATGTCGAAATGATTGGAGGCCTACTCCAGTTAGACGTGAATGGTGTGACGAACCAACTAACGTCGAAGTCACACCTCGTGGTCAGCACCTTACGTGGACTACCCCCATTGACGTAACAAGGTACTATAGATGCTTTGAAGACTGTACAACACAAAGGACGTTATTACAGAAATATATTAGTTAAGGTAGATACAAGCGGAAGTAAGACCACTGCCGCATGGGCCAGTCCATGGCGTATGATTAACTAATGCGCGTTTGTAGTACATGACCTTGGCAGGGAGCGACGATCTGTTCGACATTCAGTGATCCAACTGCCGGATGATTTGGCTAGGGCTCAGTGACATTTCACTGGCCCTACAATACTCCCCCACCAGATTCAGCGGCCGTTTGAATCGGTACCAAACATGTTGGGAGCAATCGCGCGCCGGAGAGTGCCAAACGAATATTATAAATTCTCCAGGTATTGCTTATCTGTAAAACAAATGGAAAGGAGGCGGCAGAAACTGGTCGGGAAACAGCGAGTCATAATATGTTAGTAGGACGTTGCTTAAACGTAAATTGATTAACCATAGAAATAATGAAAAGAACAAAGCGTTTAACTGTTCTATCAAGTCGCGCTGAAATATATAGCTTTGACAAGCAATTCAGTTCCTCCGATGACGAACGTTAAGTCTGCCGCAAGAGTAATGATGCTATAGCGATAGTAGGATAAGTGTATTATCAATCGATATCCATATTTGTACTGTCATTAGTTTAAAGTTGTAAGTCGGACAGTGTCGTTGACAGCTATTAATTAGTGTCGAATTCTAGTTATATCTATATCTAACAGACTAACCGTAAGTACAGAAGTATAACAGTGAAGAGTGGTCGTTATTTCGTTGTGCGAAGCTATTGACCAACTTGTAGTCACAGTTTGAAAAGTCGATGACTGCTGTTACAGCCAGTAAGGGTTGAAGGCTACAAATCCACAGCAAAGGTGGCACGATGAAGTCTCTAAAAGATGATAAACGGTGAATGCTGCGTGTTTGTTCGGTTAGTGAACAGAAAAATATCGAAAAGAACATAAGAAACCAAGAGTGTCACTCTGGACTCATGTCAATGATACCCGTGAAAAACGCTGTCAGTGTTGGGATAGAGGCGACAATATCGTTTTCAGTTTGCAGGAGATTCGCTCGACTGCATAAACTGATGATTCGCGCGAATGATATTGTCGTCAGACCACCAATTGAACTGGACAGGTTGTAAATCGTCGAGTAGTTGAACAGCCGATTGATGTACCGAAATCATCTGTTAAATAGCAGACACGAGGAAACAATGCTTCGTAAAATAAAGTACGACATCGAAGTAGAATAACTACAATAGTTCAGATGTGTTACAATGTCAAGTCTAAATAACATCGTTCTTACGTATACTGACAGTTGCACTGAACGTTCGTTTAGGTATTATTAGCGTAACTGTTGGATGTGTGAATAAAAGCATATACGAAAACTACGGTTGGGTTCGTGGAGAATTTTCGAGGACGTTTAGATATTTTCCAAACCCGTATCGCATGTAAATAAACCGAAAATAGAATTAAAATGACTGTCGTGTAATAAAGAAATCGAGCCATGATTTACCGTGTGAATTAATAGCAAATACAAGGGGTATAATAAACATTAATTAAAATGGTAACCACCAATGTAACTAAGGTTTAGAGGGTCCAGGTAACGTGGCCATTTCGTAAAAGGCTGATACAAAGAGCTTATTACCTAGCGTTAAGTGACATATTAAGTACGACAACGTGTGTACTTGGGACATGGACTAAGCGTGCTCGTGTACATGCAATATGTTTTACCACAGTATATCGACTAACGAGTCATAAATGTACATGATTTCGACTAAAACTTGACGGCAGTGACAGAATATATGACTAGTTTACGTGAAAGCAACTACGAAATGTTATCACGCATCATAAATATAGTACGAAATAATCTAATGAAATTATGAAACTCGCCTGGGTTAATCTTGCCTTTAAGTAATGAAGTAGGCAGTAGTTTGAATCTGGATTATGTACGAGGTACTGTTGATTAAATTTTTCGATTAACACAGCGTTGTAGACTGAATTTGTATAAGTCCAGAATTAATGTAAGCCGAATACATAGCATTACCTGACGAACAGTCTAAATGAGATCTAAGATCGCAGGAAATTTATAGTTCAAACTCACCGTAAATTTCTAGCATTCGTATCCTCTGTTTGGCCATGGAACTCAGCAATTGGAAATTAGGCAGGCAGTGGTAAAAAAAGGCAAAACATTCTAGTGGATAGTGGTTAAGCAGAAAGATGAATTTATAGTCGATAGTTAATCTTGTCTTATTTATACCAGTGAATAAGTTACAAACAGATGTGCGTTCGTGTTGCCTTGTGGCTATAATCACGAGTGGTTGATATTTTAACAGACATATTACACAGGAGCATTTACATGCTGCTAATGCTTGTTAAAGAACCACGATAGCCGATTATAATCGTAGTTGATTGGTTAGTTCTGTCGATTGAACTAAGTATTTAAGTTTAAATACTAATCAACATTGACATGAAGCAACGAAAGTTCACAGTGATAGATTAACATAGGCGATGATACAAATGAAAAAGAATAAGTATAGAATACAATAATAAAGATTATAGTGATAGGTTGCGTTACTCGAAGTCTTGCTCACCAGTGTAGATCACCAACGTAGATGATCTATGTCGAAATGATTGGAGGCCTACTCCAGTTAGACGTGAATGGTGTGACGAACCAACTAACGTCGAAGTCACACCTCGTGGTCAGCACCTTACGTGGACTACCCCCATTGACGTAACAAGGTACTATAGATGCTTTGAAGACTGTACAACACAAAGGACGTTATTACAGAAATATATTAGTTAAGGTAGATACAAGCGGAAGTAAGACCACTGCCGCATGGGCCAGTCCATGGCGTATGATTAACTAATGCGCGTTTGTAGTACATGACCTTGGCAGGGAGCGACGATCTGTTCGACATTCAGTGATCCAACTGCCGGATGATTTGGCTAGGGCTCAGTGACATTTCACTGGCCCTACAGTGAGTTAGAGAACTTGCAAAAAGCTTTATAATCATCTTTTATGCGCATGTCAGTGAAGTCCGTACTGGTAAACAGATTCATATTGAAGATAATTCCGTAATTCTTTGACATCGTTGCTGACCTCATTAGTTTTATTGGAAACACTCTAATTGAAATCGCCTGGTCACTCGTCGTACTAAATAATGAACTGATACGCCATGTAACGCATTCATGTAACTGTAATCCGGCTTAGATCAAACACCTTTCAACATATCGGTAGCTTTCGAAATATATCTTCGAGCTCAGTAACACATGACTTCTGATTTAACTAGGTTGGTGTTTTTTTGCACATAATGTTGTTTCAGACGAACGCATTATCGAGTACCGAATAACAAAATCCTGGAAGTACTGGGTCATTTTTAGACTAACTTACTAAGAAAGCATTATCGCTACTCTTTGAATACATTGTCAGTGACCAGGATAAGTTTTGCTAACAAGGTTACGATGACCAAACATAGAGTATTCCAATTTTCTTACCTCCAAGATTCCAAATGACAGGAACATAGAACCAAAATGTTTACAGCAATCCACTGTCCGCTCGACATTTTACTGAAAAACGTCGGGTAATCCGAGGTAAGTATAAGCTTTTTCGAGTATCACTAAGACATGATTTCTGACACACTGAATTCTATTAGATGGTGGTTGGAGGTAGTCAACAGGAAACCCTGGACCCGGGTTTCGTGCTACTTGGCACTCGTCAGCAAGGTGTACCTGTAATCTTGAGGGAACTGGTGCTCCCTGGCGGATTCGATCTCGTGTCACCCAGCTTCACAGTCAGAGACGTTACCACTGAGCTATCCGAGCCGTGACTAACCTCCTGTAGGACTGAGATGTAATCACAATTGATTGGTCACCAGTTCCCTCAAGATTACAGGTACACCTTGCTGACGAGTGCCAAATAGCACGAAACCCGGGTCCAGGGTTTCCTGTCAACTACCTCCAACCACCATCTAATCTCAATACATAGTGCCCGCAGTGTCGAGTCACCTAGACTGGTGGCCACATTGCAACATGATCGATAGCATTCGATCTGCACTAATAAGGACTAGACAAGCATGAGATTGATCACCACCCAGTGATCAATCAATTGTGATTACACTGAATTCTATGTTATGAGTCTATCCTTCTTTGTGACGCCTTATATATAAGTTTGTCTATTGTGATACTTGTAAGGAGTAGTGTAACTTCATGTGCTATGTTACGTCCACATAGTTTATTCTAGCTTTCAGACAAGTCAATCAATTCATTATTCTTAAACCACATTCTGGCTGTTTTTAGATAAACGCATGTGCGCTCATTGCCGAACTTACTCATCACATATCTAACTTATTTTTACCTGAAAATAAATATCGATCTACGCTTGATTTGCTTCAGTTATTGCACGTCAATTCCTATTGCTTCGCTTTCCGATCAACGACCGTATGAAATGCACATATTCGAAAATCATTACCGTATTTGACATATTAAATTACACTATACACTAATGCGAGTTAGGTCGATGATTGTATACGAGAATAGCTAGGATTTGTATTGCGAAAGTTATCATTCACACCATGTGAGTCAGATCATGGGCCACCATATACTTCTATGCGCTCTGAATACTGTATACTAAGTATATTTTCTAGATATGCTGTACAGTATGGAAAAAGGCCCCCCTTAGACGTAAATACCAAACCACTTGCACCCTAGTCTTTAAGTAGTATTGGACTAAATAACAGGCAGCCGACTGCCGTTTGTCCTCGTTTCTTCAAAATTGAACCACTGCTGGAAATATCAGCATTCATATCCATTGTTCATAATCAAGTCGTTGGATTTATTGCGCAGTGGTAAAGTATTCTCCTTATATATTCGAAGAGTTAAATATTGTGCAGAGTTACTTGCACTGTAGGAAGCCGTATACATTAATCGACGCGTCACAACAATAATTGAATTACAATCCGAACTTTTTTCAGGTCATAGGAGCAAAATTAAAAACTCGAAAAACCACCAACCAATCGAAAGGCGTTCAAGTGCGAAATACCTGTATATTAACTGACAAATACATAAAGTTTATGATCTTTATAAAACACCTTAGAAGTAAATGATACTGTGAATTCGCGCTTCCAATATGTACTGCCCTCTCTTTTAGATCTTTTGGTCAATTGATTTTCATATAACAGCAACATTACGAGGTGGATTAGGATAGTGTGGCATTTACTTACTGTACAGAATGAATTGTTTGCAGGGAGATATTACCAGTGACTCAAGCAATTTACGAATATTCATTTTAAAAAATAACCTCATGTAAATACAACAAGGTGAACAGATTAAACCGAATGAATCTGGAATACTGTGCGTCACAAAACGTAAATCTTATTTCATTTATAGAATGAAAGTCTGTTTTATTAAGTGATTTTTCCACGTAGTATTTGAGCATAAGACAAAGTCGAAATATTTGAAACAGGTAATACATTGCAGTCAGTCTTAGGATCTTTTACCAATTTCGGTTGTTCGTTGGAAAGCTTCACGGCTCCAGGATATTCTCGTTTGAGTACACTGGTAAGGCTTCCACGATTACTCATTGATCCTGCAGGCAGTTTGGAATAACCACGTCTCGCAATAACCATTACATGACAGTTAGGTCCCGGATCATAAGTACAAGCTTCCATACCATAGTATTCTACAATATCATGAATGAATCGACGTTTTCTTTTATTCATAGGCGGAAAATGATGAACCAGAACTTTGGGGTATTCTTTAGGATTATTTGGATCAGTAGGTTCAATATTGGATTTCAAGAACTAAAATAAAGGAAATACACGATTTTCAGCAGACATCATGACTTGAAAATAAATGATATTTGTAAAGGAGGTACATGAAGTGTTTTGAATGTATCCAGTAAATGTGGAAACTATTGAAAATGTTTTTTTCAAAAGTTTCCTCTACACAATCTATACTAAAAATCACTTTCCTAAACATTCATACCACAAACTACTGGAGTTTTGTTTGTTTTTTCTCGATGTAATTCTTCAGCCTTTTTCCTCAATAGAAGGAAACCATGTTCGTTACATATTACCATATCTTTATACTTAATAAGACGTCAAAAACAACTTACGACGCCATTAATTATTTTTATAAACACTATAAAGACAACAATATCTGGAGTTTAAGACCTATTTCATAAGTCTTTTTCTCAAAAAAACTATTCCAGTAAAACTTTCAGTGTTCTGAAATCAAATCTTTCAAATGGTTTATATTTATCTCACAAACTAGCTAAAACAATTATGTTGTAATAACCATCATACAACTTTCCCCTGGTATAAAAGAATAGTTAAAAAGAGTGGGAAACTCATCACTGTGAGAATATTATGTACCAAATAAGAAACATATTCGATCTACTGCAAAGCGTTATCAAGACATGTGAGGTATTCATGAAGAATAACCAAAGGTCAACAAGATATAACTCTCACGAAATTTCGGAAGAATACTTTACTTATGATGCTATAATGATACACCTACATATTCCCTTTTAAATATTACCGACGTACAAGATCAATTTCTATTGTTCTTCTCTATTAAAAAACATCTTGTTATTTTCACCGGTAATTATGCCTACAGAATTAGCTGGGAACATAAAGACAACTACGATGAAATGCCTCCGATAGTATTATGCGAGTAGTTTTAAAGAAGCTTCATGTTATAACAAGTTCAAGTTTTCGTATAAATTTTATTTTATTTCTTTGATCAACACCAGATTGTTAACACACTTTGATAGTGAATTCTTTTTCTTTAAATATGTGACTTTATCAGAATGGGTTTTGTGGATTTTTTTTTTATTTTTAGAAATTTCACAGATTGAAATCATGAGTCAGTTGAAGTTAGACATTAACACCGTCGGATGCCGGCTCAGTGGTCTAGTGGTTAAGTGCTCGCGCGCGAAGCCAGTAGGTCCTGTGTTCGGGCCCCGCGTGGTGCGGGATCGTGGATGCGCACCGCTGAGGAGTCCCATACTAGGACGATATGTGACTTTATGTTGCTTTTTTGTATTTAAAACTCTGTTAGTCAGTTTATTAAAGTTCAATGAACCATGAAATTATGAAGATCAGTAAATTTCAATGAAATGACAAAAGCACAAATTAAATGTATTATGTTACAGATTATAATCAAGTTGTCTTTAAATAACCAGGAAAGTTAATAATTCCTCTAATGACTAGCATATATCATTTCTAATACGTAGGAAAAAAAAGCCAGCGGAAAACTGTCATGACGTGTTATAAACTTGTAAAGTTTATGTGTATTACAGCTGTATTATTAATAACTAGTTTTTATTCCTCTTTCTGTATATTTTTCATTAATCGTATTGGCTGATTTAAGCTTCATTTGTCTGACTACGTCGAACAATCTACGAGCCTATACACGTTGCTGCGTTCGTTACTTTGTATGTAAATTTAACAAAAACGAACTATTATTGATTATGGGACCACTCCTTATTCATATATTTTCGTATGTAAATACTCTGGGAAGATAAAACAATCTACTTACTTCAGTTGATCTCATGTACGTAGTTTCAGTAAATCTAAGAAAACATATTGTTTGACAAAATCACTGTGATAGTGACTATGTGTTAAGATCATCATGCTGTTGTTTAGTGACAAACTGAAGACAGTAAATAATATTATTGCCGTTGATTGTCATTGTGAGAAAACTGCACTTTAAACAACTTTCTCAAGACTGAAACAAATTTTAGTATTGTGGACTAACTTTTAGTGAATATCAAACTTAGCGGTAGACAGAAAGACTGAAATAAAATATCCGTAGAATAATATTCACAAAGTGGTTTTTTTAAGTAAACTTACCTGCATAATCATACTTTTCAACTGTTCTTCAATATTCTCAACAAAAGTAAAATTTCTTAGTGCAAACTGCTTTAAATGATCAGGATACTCCGGAGGATCAAATGGGCACTCATTTTCATCTGAATTAGGCAACATAGCATCAGAACTGTTTGTTAAACCTCTCTTCCAATTGCTTGTATTAGCATATTGACTGGTTGTATGTGATTCTGTAGAACTAGTACAAGAATTATCACAAGCTAATAGAGGTATTGGCTTTTGAGAATCATGTTCAGTAAAAAGTGAATGACTACCTGTCAATGGTGCACTGCCCATATTGCGTTCATGCTCCAAAAGTAGATATTGCTTTGTATACACCTAGGATAAAGTTGTTAGTATATACAGTTGTATTAACAGTTGTCTATTTAAAGTATCCCATAAAAAAACTTTATCATGGTACCTTTCACCACTGTAAAAATCTATCAAAAACAGAATGAATAGTTTCGTATTCGTACACAACTCAACCAGTAATATATCCATTACGAAATTCTGAAATGTGATTTTATTACAAAAATTAATTCTAATTACAATCTAATGTACAAGATTAATTAAAAGTTTTCATTTGTAAAACGTAGAATGGTGATACTATAATTTATGGACGAACCAATCAGATATAAGATAACAGGTTTTGGATTTTGGCGCTAACTTCATTCATCCATTTGGCTAAATGGCATTTTGGCATTATAGCTGGTGTCCTTTCGTAATGAAAACCCTAACTATCAATTGTAAATCATAATCTTGATTCTTCCTACAGGTTTATAACCCTCACTTAGTCCTAAACAGCAGGTGGACATTCTCAAGGTTACTTTAGTGTCGCTCAAAGGCTGTCCATAAATTATAGTCTCACCCACTGATTTTATAAGTAGAATCCTTTATAAATGTGAGGTTGCCTCAGTCAATCATCAGTCAGTAACAACGTAGAACTTCGGACGTACGTACATCAGTTCGAGTTGCCACACCACATTAGCACAGAGATGCAGTTGTCGATTCAAATCCCGTAGTGGTAGAGGTGGTAAGAGTATATGCAGTAATCGGAAACATTAGAGTTTGAAGATGTTATTCAACGAGTATAATCCAGCGAAATAAATTTGGAAAGAGGAAAAAAAGGGACATGAAGAATTCAGAAGATTAGAATTCGGGGGAACACAAAGAGTGGATGCACCTGCGCCATTGCAAACGATTTTGAGCCATGTCATTCAGGGTCTCTAACCATCGGTTGCTATCATCTCGCGGTCCCCTAAATCACCAATAAAGTTCACTTAGTTCATAATAAGGATTTTTAATTGATGAACAGTTTATTTCAAGGATGTTTCATACAAAATTCCATTTAAAAAGTATTTTGTTTATAAAATTAGTGCTTATATTTTAGATGATTTATACGTTCAGTTAGAGTGATCTACGATTAGTTGAAGATTAAAGAGACATATTCGGCGATAAAAATAAAAATAAACTACGTTATACTGCGAAAATCATTCGACTTTAATTCAACTTACTGGCTGCTCTATACTTGTTGATGTGAGCAGAGAAACAAGAAACCTTGACAAACTACGGAAGCTATTTTTCGGAACATTATTTCATTTTATTCAAAGCTTGTAAAACATTAACATTTATTTTTGCCCCTAGTCTATTCTACAGAATATAAGCTTTCATTGCCATACTCCTTTTTGTTCCAAAGCTATTGTAATTTAAACATATTATTTTGTTTTTGATTGAGATTATGAACTGATTGATCTTAGGCCACTATTGATCTCAATCAAAAACTTAACAATCTCCACAACCCTTAAACTGATATTATTTTGTACTCTATTTTCTACTCTAATTCCCAGCTTTGGACATAATTGTATCTTCCTAATTATTGTACGTTGTGGTCAGGTTAGTCATCTATTTATCCATATACTCTATTACACTAATCGAAAATCGGGAACCAGATCGGAATTGAGAATAAATCGAGTAGTGTTCCAGTTGCCTTGTCTTCTCTCACTCATGTGCTTGTCAGCCAATCAGGTGATAGAATAATTTTGTTTCTCTCTACCCCATTTCGAACTCACGCGTACTAGCCTCAAGGTTAAGCCGGACAGCCTATCGCGTCAAGGTCTTAATCTGGATTAGACAAGTTAGCCTCAATACCAAAAGCGGGTAGACAGATCAAGGACATAACACTTGGTATACATAATGTTTTGTTGTGATTTGTATTTGGTTCTCAATAGAACGATCAAATAATTGGGTTGGATGTATTACATAATCAAGCATTACGTCCATTTAATTTGTAGTACAAATAACAGGAACAATGTAATTGTCTTCAATCTTATTAAAGATGTATTGCACAATAAAATAAATCGATTCATTTCACTTCTCCACGCAATATTTTTTTCTAATTTATAAAAATTTACTTGAGTAACTAATGGTAAGAAATTCTGAAAATAATCTACAGTCAAGGACATTGTGACACTTTGTTATTCAACTGTTGAGGTTCATTGTTACTTACTTACTTACGCCTGTTACTACTCATGAGGGAGCATAGGCCGCTCACCAGCATTCTCCATCCAACCCTGTCCTGGTTAGCGTTTTTTGAACGAGTTAGTTTATTACGGGATGGGGTCGCTAACCCCATACCCAACCCTCCTCTATTACCCGGGCTTGGGACCGGCAGTAACTCTAGAACAGCTACACGCGGAGTTTGAGGTTCATTGTAGAACAATCAAAATTATCTATACAAAGTGCATACACATTATATTTATATGGAGAATGTAAATAAACAATTCTGGTAACAATATTGTTATTATATTGTAGTGACTCAACTTTATCACGAGAACACGATTGGTTTATTGAAAACAATTACTATTATAATCAATTGTACCAGTGACTGTTTAGTGTGCTCTTTGTTTAACTGTGCTAAAAAGCATCCATTATTCTCACACCTCGATTGTGACTTCGCGCGAATTCGGTTACGTTCTGTAACCAAGCTTGTATCCTGGTACGATCTCGGTATCCTTTCGATACCACGAGATCGCCAGCGAATATATCTTGACTTGGTCCATTAACTGCCTTCTGATATTTGACTTCCGGGGGACTTTATGGATCTATTTAGCACGTGTTTCTGTAGCGGTGTTCATAGTCAACTGCGACTCGACACCACGCTACAATATCGTGAAAGGTTAAGAAGTTTGAAAATGACAAAATACTGCTTCTGAATAAAAAAACAATAGTGTCATAAACTTTAACAAAACTCATCAGCTCATTTTGGTACTAAAACTTTTTCAAGACGTTGATGTTTTGAGTTTTATATTGAATGGATGAGGCCATGGTATACACAGTTATCAGTAGTCACAATTTACAATGAAACTGATTTTTACTGTTAGGAGAATAGAATTTTGATTGTTACATACTCTGATCAGGCTCAAATCGGAATACGTTGATTGATTAGTTTTCAACCACCTAGTACTGGTAAACAAATCGAGAAAATACTAGAAGACTCTTCGACTAATTTTATTGCTTTGACTATTGTTTCTTTGTTTTTTGGTTTGCTGGAATTTATATGGTTCGTTCTCGATGGTAATGTAAGCGACTGTATATGACAATGACTTGTTTTCATTTAAGCTCTTGCTAGTAAAACTGCTCTCATCTGATATGTGGTTTAACAGTCATAACTTTACATCTTGATCAAATACTGTTAACTTTTGTTGATTGTTTAGAACTAAGGGAGGTTTGCCAGTCTACTTCAAATATTTAAAGATAAACTAGTACAAAATATAAGAAAGAGGTCAATAGATTTACTGGTAGTAACTTTCACTGACCAGACTTATCCGTATGATGTAAACTGGGTATAAAACTCAAGGACTAACTCAGATGACTTGTTCATTCATGTCTAGCAAACCTGATTAAAAAAGACTTTAAAGTTTCAATGTAAACGTAACAACATATTAGATAAGACAAACGCTAACTTGGAATCCTGCAGAAAAACGGAAAAGAGAAAGACCAAAGAACACACTGCGTCGGGAATCGGGAGCAGGCACCAAAAGGATGAATAGAAACTGGAAAACAATTAGCCAGGACAGAGTTGGATGGAGAATGCTGGTGGGTGGCCTATGCTCTTCCATGAAAGGTAACAGATGTAAGTAAATATTATCAATGAGTAACCTTTTTTATTACTATATAATTTCTCTTATGTCTCAATGGTCGTTTCATTAGTCGTAAACTAACATTTCTCTTAGTTAAGAAACTTTATATATGTCGAGCCATATTGAACTAGTCATTTCTGTACTTGTCCATGGTGAGAGTTAACCGTTGTCACTGGGTTCCCCATTTTGAAAGTGTTTTTTGTGGACTAAGCTATTTATTACTGATTGTGGAATCTTTTATTATTTATATGTGATCATATATTAATAGTCTAAATAGCCAAAACAGTCTACTGATTCTGATCGACCTCAGGATCATTATTCCGGTGAATCTAACGTAGGACCTGACAGAAACGTGCATTGACCCTACATGGGACATCACGTCAGCACTGCAGAATTAAATTACAAAGGTGAACACCAAAGTAGTAGCAGTGATAGCAAATAAGAAGAATTAAATATGGCGAGCGTAATTCAAGAAAAACGAACCAACCACGTTTAAATTATTTTCGAGCTTAGGATCTAGCGGTAGACAATGTATTTGTAATATTATAACCAATTGTGAGCTAATTAATTCAATATCCTCAACAGTTGGCCACAACAATCGCGAGGACTCTAATCGGGTAGTTTGCACTTGCAAACGTGGCTCAAACCAATAGTCAACGACATCATTAACCGATGTGATGTCTCGACCCAACCTTCCCTAACTTATTCTTTTGCCGACCAACTTTGATAAAAGAAATTATTTGATTTTACGTCAATGAAAACTTATTAGGATTACCTGATGACACTGTTGTTTTTGTTTGATATTTCCACAGCGACAGACGACATCTACTAATGCAGTACAAATCAACTGGCTTTCTGAACCGTGATTAGAAAAAGCCTCCAAGCATGATTGATTTCGAACTTCGTGACAGGGTAAACCACATGGATGTCCGCAACCAGGACGAGGTTTCTGACAGGGTTGGATGCATACAGTATCACATTCTTCGTCGGATGTAGTGAGATCCAAACAAGGACCGGCGTGACATTTACGCTGACAAAGATGTGAGCAACCTGAAAGTGGTTTATTGCAAATTCGTCCACAGCTTCGAACTTCTTGAAAACAAGGCACTTTAAACTGTACTCCGTGTCCTGATATGGTATGTGAAAAAGAATAAACGGTTAACGTAGAGGAACAGAAAGAATACTTCAGAAATCAGGAAATCAAAACAGAAATAGATAATGAATGACTTGACAAGAATATGTAACGGTCCCGGTCACTAATCCAGTAAAACGAAAACAGTAATACAAAATATGAGAAACATAGTTGGAAAAGTGATATCAAATATTGTGAAAACTAAACAATAAAAAATACATTTCAAACAATACGAGTGAGACCAAACAATAAAATGCATAAGTTGACACCAAGTGAAAATTAAGAGGAAAATCAAGTGTAAATTTATCTGTGCCGCTTCAACTGATTTCGAACTGTATAACATAACGATTATTTTATGGACCGCTCCCGAATGTCCTGGTATGGCCGAGAGTGGGGAAAGTCAGCTTCCCCTCTCGAAACTCTCTCAAGTGGCCACGTGCATACAACCGCTGCCATGGAAATCCTATTCACTACCTTCTCGTGGCGGGGGTGCTGTTTACGAAGTTAAGAGAACGGAAAACGAATGTCCGGTGCTCTAAACCCGTTGGTGAATACGGAGGATCCATTTAGGGGAGTTGGAAAACCCTGATTCCAAATCAATGGTGTATGTGGGCTCCAGGATCCTAAAGAAATAAATGGCGCATGAACCAATTGTTGGTCACCGTCTACCACGAGACTACATCTCCTTACGTTGTCCACTGCCTTGTGGGTCAGACCTTTAGGTTCAACGCCCAGGGGTGTGGCCTCCTAAGGAAACCAACTGCTTCAATTTGGGCACCCAGGCAGTATCCCAGCCCTCATACCAATCGAATGATTTATGTGGCGTATGCGCATTCGGTGCCTCTTTGTACCAATATTTATGTGTTCAAATAAATAAATTTTATGAGCCTCAAAAAAGTGACTAATTCCATAAACTAGTGCCATGTTTAATCTCATTCTTCTTACCCTCCCTTCAGTTTACTCCAACGAAAACATGTCTCAACTGCCTGTACTTTGATGAAAATTTACAGATTTATCATTGAACTAATCATGTCTATTTAAAATCATACATGTCACCTCAGCATTAATCACTTGGTACTTTCACAGCATGTGAACAATGCTTCACAGATATCGATAATCAAATATTTAAAACTTTCATCTATTCTGTGTTTTTCATAGCTCATGATTTTTTTGGCAGTTGTAAAACCAGTATAGAATAAACTGATGCAGAATAAACTCACTCTCTGATATCCATAAAAATCAATAGATGTTAAAAAACACTTGGCATTTTAACGCAATCAGCTTAACGTTAATCAACATATACAAAATAATTTAAGGGCTAGATTCATGAATCAGTTGAAGCTAAACCGCCATGGAAAACTTAGAAACACTAAACGGCCGTTTCGTTCCAGTGTGGAACTCCTCAACGATCCCACCTCGCGAGATTCGAACTCAGAACCTATCTGTTTCGTGTACGACCGCTTAACTGCTAGACCACTGAGTCGGCACCCAACGGTATTAATGCCTAACTTCGACCAATCCACGAAGTTGTGCCACCGTCCAGGTTTTCCATGGTGGTCTAGCTTCAATTGACTATTAAATTACTAATAATATCCACAAAACCCCTCTGTGAGTATACAAAATACTTAAATTTGGTATGTAAATTAGAAAGTACTAATTAAGTTATAATTAGTATATAAAATGTAGTTACACTGCACTCATATTGGAAAAATTAAAACAAAAAAAACAACATAGAGATTAAATCTTTAGAACACAAAAGTTAACACATTATCGCTTTTCATTTACTTATGTAAGTTTACATAACTAAGGGGTACAAAAACCAATGAGATATTGATTTAAGACATTTCTTTGGCAAATTGATTGTATATGTTTTGGATTTACAAGAGTGATTTAATACACATGATTAATTTAATCAATTTTACAGGTGACTTTACTACAATGAAAAGTAATTAAAAGGTGAGACCTTTGAGCAATACTAAAGTGACCTTGAGAATATCCACCTATTAACTATGAGTAAATGAAGGTTATAAAACAGTTTGAGGAATTACAATTATGATTTACGGTTAATCGTTAAGGTTCTGAATTAGATTTAGGGTTTTCATGACGAATGGATAACAGGTATCATGTCAAAATGCTATTTAGACAAATGAATGAATGAATTTCTCGCCAAAATCTAAGATCTATTTTCTTTATATCTGATTGGTTCGTCCATAAATTATAGTCTTGCCTACTCAAACAACACAATCCATAAGTGTAGCAGAAATGGATGATGTGCTTAGTCCTAAACTGACTCTGCAAAGGCTTCAGATAAGTGATTACGAAACACATTTAAAAATGACAAGTTGACAGATTTTTATTAGTAATCCTTCGCTGAAATCTTCAATAACAGTATCTTCGATGTAGCATGAGTCAAATTAACGCGTGGCTTTAAGAGAATAATCAATAAATACTTCAAAACAGCTTACAGATGACAAAATTCTTAAACAGTGAAAAGCTCTTTATGAAAATAAACACTTTAATAAAAATGAGGAAGAGTATAAACCAAATAGAAATTGATGTGTCGAAGGAAGTAATATGTGCATGCTCAATAAACGAAGATATATATATCCAGCTATGCTAAATATAAGAGACTGCTTTACATGTAAAACTGATTCCAGTCTGATTTTATTGTTGAATAAACTATTGTTCTGGTTTAATTTTAATTTTGATAGTTGTTAAGACTTTAATTGTCTGAGTTCATGTAATCCAGCCTAGTGTTTGGTTTATCAATCCAATCGGCAAATTACCAGTGGTAAGATCAATTCAAATCAAATTGCTTTTGTTATATAAGAAATAAAACAAATATCTAGGTCAGCATCAATTGAACATATTTATAATTAATTTCTTTTTAGCTCTTTGCGCTTAAATTTAAAGAGCGAGATATTATTATCTTCAACTCTACGAAATGATGGCATCGAGCCTCTTGATAAGTATATGTGAAGTAAGTGAAAAAAGTTGTTTTTCTAAAAGCAGTTGTATGTTACTTATCGGCCCTTTGTGGTACAACACAAAGGAGAAAGGTGCCAGTTGTTTAGAAACCGCAAAAAAGCACTTAGGTTGAACGCCATAAGGTTAAACAACATATGCAGTTTCAGTGTAGCTAGATATTAGGGAACAGCAGGAAAATAACTAGTTAAAATTTTAAAAGAACTAAGATAATATAAAATTTCGCACAACGAAGACCAACTCAGATCAAGGTAGACTCATTTTCTTTATCACTAATCTTAGTAAGAGAGATGGTAACTTGTATTATTCTCACTCAAAATGCTTCTACAGAACCAGGCGATAAAGCGTGGGTTAACACTTGAGGATGGAAGTCACTACAGTGTTTATGTATTTGATTAGTTTTATAAAAGGTAGTGGAAATCGCATAGGTGGGGTCAATAGTCAAATATTAAAAGGTATAAAGGTATACGTAAATTCAAAACACTTGTGGTACAGATATGAAATCTACTGATAATGAAATATAAAGCATACAATGTTTCAACAAATATATATTTTCACAGATTGAACTCATGAGTCAGTTGAAGCTAGACCACCATTGAAAACCTGAAAGCACTGGACGGCCGTTTCGTCCTAGTATGGGACTCCTCAGCAGTGCGCATCCACGACCCCGCACCACCCGGGGCCCGAACCCAGGACCTACTGGCTTCGCGCGCGAGCACTTAACCATTAGACCACTGAGCCGGCATCCAACGGTGTTAATGTCCAACTTCAAATATATATTTTCGGTGCTTTTACAAATTACGAGATTAATCTTCAGTCAGTAATAAAGAAACAAATATGTTCCAATTCGGGCTACCTTTGCCGCCTTATATATTGTCCATTGATATATCGACAGCTTATGTAATAACACAATGTTCGCCAACTCAATGAATTACTAAACGAAACTATCAACTGATGACGTGTCGACTTTAAATAAAGGATATATAAAACTAAAACAAATCTTTCAACATCAGTAAAAATCATGCATAATTCAACATACTTTTAAGTTTATGAAAAAGATTTAATCTATTTACTCAGGAGTCAATGTGAAGAGTTAACAGTTGGAAATATTAATACCAATCAAAGGCAACAATAATTAAGCTCACCTCCTGGACAAACTTTATTCATTATGACTGTACAAGGTGGACACTTAGGTTCCATATGACACGTATGTTTAACTGGATGATCACAATTATGTGCGAGACTGCAAGGTTGATTACATTCAGGTGCACTAGATCCACAGGGCTGTGGGGGATGCAGTATGGTGTGACCACAACGGCATACTAGTTCTGAATAAATCACACCACGCCAACAAGAATTGCATGGGCCTGAATGACACTGTTCTTCACAATAATGTAGTTGGCAAGATAATCGACGGCCACAGATTTCAGGGCATGAGTGTATAGTATCCTAAAATTCATAAACGATGGAAATGGATGACAACTGAAATGAAAACAGTATTTTGAGATTAGTTAACGTGTAGATATACCGTAAGTCGATATCCAAGCAATGGAGATATCCGTAAAAATGTGCCTAACGAACAATTGTACTTGATTATTTGCCAGCTGCTACTCACCATTTTTAATTTCTCCTTTCAGTTGAATGCTCTAACAATGTAAAGAAGATTTCATTAGTTTAAGTCCCACATTCGCAGATACCTGTTAATATACTACAGTTAGAAGAAATCCATAATGATGGCAAGAAAAGGTTTAACCTATTATTTTAGAAACAACTATTCACTTCTTCACAGATATAAAAGGCAAAATGATCACGAACACACTATGTGTATCGACTGTCATATAAAAGCATAAAGCTAACCGCATAGAGGAACCCTTACTATTTAACCAACTGTCAATAATCAGATGACATCATTTTGCAAAACTTTACAGATTTATGATATAAACGACCGTGAGGACAGAAACCGTATGCTTTTTATCAGTATTACTACCTTTTAAAAATAACATACATTGGTATATGTTCACAGAAAAATTAAGTTAAAGTCACAAATGATTGAATTGCTAAGATCTCTTAATTCACGGTGGAGAATTCACAGTTTATACTAATGAAGTGGAAGATCCGTTAATTCGTGCTTGGAATTAGGAAAAAATCTAAAGTTATAGAGCTATTTGGGGAACTATTTAGTCCGGAGAAAAAGATGCTGTTTTACTAGGTTTTAAATAGCTTTGAAGCAGATGACAGGAAACCCTAGAACCAGGTTTCATGCTATTCGACACTCGTCAATACGGTGTTCCTGAAATCTTGAGGGAACTAATGCCGAGTCATCCAAGCTGTCAAACATTGCTACTGAACTTTTCTAGTTCCGATTGCCCTCAGCTATATCCAACCATCTAATATCAATACACAAAGCATGCAAAAACGAGTTACTGATACAACAATATGACGAAAGGTAGAACTCGATCAATGCTAAAACACAAAATGATCATTACCCAGTGATCAATTATTGCAGATATTTCAGTTTTATGGGCAGTCAGTCGTGATCTGAATAGCTCAGTGATGACGTTATAGGCTGCGAAACTGGGTGACCAGGGGCTTAAGCCTACCAGGTAGCATCAGTGCACTCAAAATAGCACATACCCATTGCTGATGTATACCAACTAGCAGGACATCGAGATCCAGGTTTTTCTGACAAATACATCCAACCAGTTAACCTTAGAACGTAGTGTACGCAATATCAAGACTGGTGGCTACATTGCAAATTGATCAATGGAATTCGATAAACACGAAAGACTATACAAACATGACATTAAGTATCACTTAGTGATCACTAAAAAAATATCTATTGAATTATCAATAAAACATGAGAAAATGTTAAATAACGAACCTATTTCATTTAAAACTTACATTACAACATAATGTTTTGCATTTATGTCGACCACAAATTAATTTCTTCTTACATACGCGTTGACAACAGAGTTCAGGAGCGCCTATAAAATTTCAATGATATATCTTGAAATAACTTGCAAATGAATACAATATACAAACGATTTTTGTATAATTTTTCGTATATAAAAGGCAACTATCGATCTATTCACAACTCTAGTCACCTTGTACCACTGAATTTATATAATTGTTTTTTTTCTTCTTAAATAACATATGACCGTAAAAACCGACTGACGATAATAAATAATAACCGTATGTATTGGAACAATCTTTAAGTAAAAAGTGCAACAAACCAAGTACAGTTGATTTGATTATTTCTTAAGTAGCTTATCTGCATAGATCATTACACGCTATATATATATATATATATATATATATATATATATATATATATATATATATATATATATATATATATATATATATATATATAAAGTACGAAAACCCTAAGTGAAATATTTTCAGTGATTTATATGAATGTTCAATTAAAAAAAACTATAAAATAAATCTTTCGTTAGTTAGTTAGTTAGTTAGTTAGTTAGTTAGTTAGTTAGAAGATCGGCAAAAGATGAAGTAGGATAATTAGATAGATGATTAGAAAATGAAAAAGTTTACACAATAACAATGACATTACAGATGATCTCTCGATTAGTATTTATTTATTTTAACACATAGATATTGGTACAAGGAGGCACCAGATACATATGCGCCACACAAATCTCATTCGATATGTGTGAGGGCTGTGATACTGCCCAGGTGCCCAAACCGAAGCAGGTGGTTCTCTTGTGGGCCACTCCCTGAGCCTTCGACCTGAAGGTCTGATCCACAAGGCAGTGGAGCATAGTAAAGAGATGCAGTCCCATGGAAGCCGGTGACCAAGAAATTGGTTCTTACGCCATTTGTTCCCGCAGGATACCTGAGCCCATGTGTACCATTGGTTTGGAACCCGGTTAAAGCGCCGGGCATTCGCTTTTTATCCTCTCATTTTCGTAAACAACACCCCGCCACAAGAAGGCAGTGAGTAGGACTTCCCTGGCAGAGGCTATATACGCGTGGCCATGTGAGAGCATTTCGAGATGGAGAGCGGATTCTCCACACTCTCGGCCGTACCAGAGCATTTGGGGACAGAACCCGTGAGAATATTTGTCCAACAATATCAAGAATAAGATGACATAAAATGAACAATGTATCACATTACCAATTGATCGAAGTGAGAAATATGAACCAGTATGAGATTCAATGGTTCACAGATGTTATGTTTGAGGTAAGACTCACATGTTCTCGGTTCGACCACACATTGGAACGTAGGTGTGCACTATTAAGAAACTTAAAACTATGGCAAAACATCTGACCAGTGGCTTTCACTCGTTTACAAAGGTTTACCGACTAGTGTTAATTCATGAACAGAACAGTTTCCATATTGAATTAAGATATGTTCACTTAAAAGTACATTTGAATGATAGACCAAAATAAACATAACTGATTAAATACAATAAAAATATCTGAATAAATTTCATTTTTATAATTTATCATAAAATATTAAAAGGTCATTCAATAATAAAATGTATTATTGCTTAAAGTAGAAAATAGAAATAATTACCTTCTTTATCTGATAATTTAGAGAACTCTTGACATGTCATTACTTTTGAACTTTGTCCACAACGACATTTTAATGAAATAGATAATTCACATGGAGGACAAGGGCCAGTATGACAATATTCTGAACATGTATGACCACATAGTGATCTAGGACGCCCACAGATATTAGGACAAGTAGGTAGAGGATCCGTACAAGATTGTCGATTGCCGTATAAACAACTTGTTGATACCTATAGTGAGGAATTAATGTTGAAAAAATGACCTAATTTTTCTGTAGCCAAATAAACATTGGATATGAATATGTTACAACAGTAAGAAAGGTACAACAAAAATTCAAATATATTTCCAAAGGATTTATTGTGGATATAAAGTACCTTTTTACAAAAACAAGACCACCACTCAAACATGTTGGAAATATTGATTCAAGCCAAATTCAACGATTACTGATTACCGCCTAATAACAGAACCACTACTACTATTGTGTATGCTACTTGTGCTGACAGATATAAGTAGTATGTAGCAGGAGTCGGAAGTAGAATGCCTGTCAACAGGAGAATGAAATGAAGAGAAGAGAAAGGAAAACGAAGAGCGTTTGGAATAGCGAAAGAATTGGAACAATCAGGAAATATGTTAAGGACAAATGAAGAAAGATGCCTAAATAGTGCATAAAATAATAAATCGGTTAATCCCACCTGTGTCTTCGTTAACTATACTACTGCGATACTATAAAAGCGAGCAAATGGCAAACTTGGATAATAGCGTACAATAGTTGATACAGTTACACATAGTAAAAGGACAACGAAAGATTATCAAAAGAAACGAGAAAAATAATAAAATGAATTAAAAATGAACATAATTAAGCGGAGGAATAAATAAGTGGAGATTAGTAAAATTTGCAAAGATTAAGGGAGTAAGGTATCTTCCCCGTTATTATCTATATTGATCTACATTACTTGGGGCCGTCATTCATACACTGAAGGAAATCGCATACGACTCGTATTAACAGTAATTGATTACTTAAAAGCATGTCATTTGCTTCGCTTATTCTTAAGTATATTACGATCTAATCCTCTTCTAAATAATATCAAGTAAACGTTCTATAGCTGAGTTTATATTTAATTGGTGGCCCACGTATCAAGGCTGACACAACTCTAAAAACGGATAAGTAAGACAAGTAATCAGCATTGTAAATAATAAATTCATTTCAATAACAAATATATTATATAACTATGGATGAGGATAAGTTATTCAATGCTTTATGAACTCATAACGAATCAATAATTGAACTTTACTCGGATTAGATTAACATATTTTCCAGGTATTTAAGTATGAGCTACACCGTAAGTGTGAGAGCTAATGATATCGATAGATTATCCAGATTGAAGTAGGTGGAGCGGGTTTCGAACATGGGACTTAAATGCTGAAATTTAAACACCTAAACTACAGAGAGCCATCACCCTACTAACCAACTAGGCAAATTTTATTGATCAGACTGACGAGTGAATTATATTTTTTTAAACTAAGAAAATAATAACTACACATCGTAAATATCAAGCATTCAAACTACAATATAAACTAACCAATTTAGTGAGAGGTGTTTTTCCACAAGGACAGGTTAAACACCATGCCGGATCAAGTGCACAAGGTGGACATTCTCCAGAATGACAGTAATTTGAGCACTTATGATTGTTGCAACTTAATTGACGACCACACACACGATCACATGAGAAAGTAGGACCAATTTTAACCAATAGTAAATCAGACGAAATAATTTGTTTATTATTATCATTAACTATTCTAGTTGAATCAGTAATGTGGATATCAGGTTTGGATAATTGAGAGGATAAACTATTGTTTAAATCATCATTAGCATGTAATGATAATTCGTCAGTAATTGATATTTGCTGGAGTTTTAAAATATCAGAATAATCGTTACTGATTATTTTACTTTGCAATTCCACAAAAGCTGTACGTAAAGTTTGTAAATCTTTCTGAGAAAAAGTGCATTTTCGTATTTCATTACTGCCACAAATCAACTTTACATTATTATCCTGACCACAAAAACAAGCTATAAAAAAAACAAAAAATAATTATGAGCAAAAATGGATAGTGGCTAGCAGTGGAATCCAGGACACATATTTCGTCCCAGTTGGGACTCATCAGCTGAATGTACCTGCATCTTAGAGTTCATTCCGGGACTTGATTCAAACAATCAACACAAAAATGAATTGTATGTAAAGAAAAAAAATCATTGAAATTCAATTCAAATGTAGAAATTTATTTATGACCAGTAATACATTGAATGATAATACCAGCTGAAAATCTTATTGTTTACAATTATTTATTAACGTTATTATCTTGTTTGATAATAGATTTCAATAAAATAAAGTGTTTTATAACAATTTTAATGGTTGGAATCACTAGTCAACTGAAGCTAGAGCACCATGGAAAACCTGGAAGCACTAGACGGCAGTTTCGTCCTATTCTGGGACTCCCCAGCAGTGCGCATCCACGATCCAACCTCACGAGATTCCAACCCAAGACCTATCAATCTCGCGCACAAGCGCCTAACCACTAGACAACTGAGTCGGCATCCAACGGTGTTAATTACTATAATATCCACAAAAGCCATACTGATATTAATCAACATATGCTCACTAGTGAATGGCTTCAAGAGGTATTTCCTGGAGTTCTAGTTAAAAGCAGTGACCAGTGGAGTTCAACAGGGTCGTTTGTGAGATGGTAACTCACTGAAGACAATGGTGGATGTGTCGCTCAATCTCGTGGATTGGTTGAAGTTAGACATTAACACCGTTGAATGCCGGCTCAGTGTTTTATAACAGTTAAGAAATTGTATTAGAATTCAATTGTATACTGATCATTAGTCAAGCTGTTTTTCAATAACATTATACCCTTATATAATGGACTATAGTACTATACAAGTATATTAAGAATTTCTCGAACTAGATGTTTGATTTTAATATGCTTCATATAAAATTGATCGCTTCTCTTTCCTTCAATTCTTTACTATATCTGTAATCTGGAAGGTTTTGATAACTTCCATGGTAAATGAATTAAGAAAGGAACCATAGTTTCACTGTGCACACTGAAGAGAAGTAGTAATAGTATTAGTAGTCGATTTTCAGATTTTCATTCAATGTCTTATTATTGCCCAAGTGAACGGGTTACTTGAAGATAGAAATCAGCGGATTATAGAGACCGCCAATGTAACGAGTTCACTTAGTGAATATCGGACTAATCACCTTTTGACCAATAGCTTAATGACTACGAAAAACGACGAGATGACCGTAAGCCCTATTGGTCCACAAGCTCATTCTAGCTCACAGTACAATCAGAAGGCAAATATAGTAAGAGGATTTAAATGTCTGTTATTCTTTATTCATCCTGACTCAGAAGTTCCTCAGTTCACTACATAATACTATTAAATACAATATATACATATCTAAAAAGTAAAATAAAACATGTTACGATTTTACTAAAACTTTCCTATAAGTTACATGAATGTATTTTTCTAGAATAATCTCAATGCTAGTTCTTTTTTTATATTCGTAAATGTGTGTGTCTTTTTAATGAATTTTCGCTTATACAGAATTCATTTTGTCGCTCAGTAAATATCGTCATTTCACTGTATTTGTGTCCATAGCTATGATATGTACTTTGCACCTTCGAAGTGCAAAGTACTTCTACAAGACTGGCAGGATTCTAATCCTGTACTCACCATAGATGGTGAGCAGATAGAAGTAGTCGGGAAGTTCGTGTATCTAGGTAGCTACATGAGTGCTGGTGGTGGCGTGAGTGATGAGATCGATTCACACATAATGAAAGCCAGAGAGGCTTATGCCAATCTGGACCACCTTTGGCGCCTTCGTGATGTCAGTCTGGCTGTAAACATTGATTATCTGACTTACGGTATCACAAATTATTTATTTTATTTTATTTGGACACATGAGTATTGGTACAAGAGAGCGCTAATATATATGCGCCACACAGAACAATGGATATTCGAAGAGGAATACAAAGAAAGAAAAAAAAGAAGCTAAGGAGCACAAAAAAAGAGAGAACAATAACGAAGAGTTTGGTGTAAGGTAATGTGCTAGTAATCAGGGAACGCAAAGGTACAATCGGAAGAAATCTTTCAGGTAAGGGAGACAGAACCACTTTTATGAAGAAAGTAAAAGAAGGTTACAGCAGGATCGACACTGGCTTCTATTCTGAGCCATATCTGATAACGTCTCTAGCCACTGTGTAGCACCATCTCTCGAACCTCAACCAGGGAGTCGTGAAGGACCAACACAAGCCAGTCCTTTGCAGCTTTCTTTCATGCCACGACACCATGTCATGAACTGACCACCTCTCCGCTTCTTCCAACCAGTCCCAGAGTCGACAAATAATGCTTGACGTGGAATTCTCTGAGACGACATTCGGATAACATGTCCAAGCCACCGAAGTCGGTGTTTCAAGATAATGAAACTAATTTAATTATCTTCGCAGTGCCCGAACACACGATGCCGAACCTCTGCATTACTAACATGGTGTTGCCACTGGATGTCAGCAATCCTTCGGAGACAGCGATGATCGAACACAGAGTCGTCCAACGTCCTCAACTCGGAGAGGCCAGGTTTCACAAGCATAGAGCAAAACTGTTCTCACCGACGCGTTGTAGATCCGACCTTTCACAGCCAGACTAACATAACGAAGGCGCCAAAGGTAGCCCAGATTGGCATAAGCCGCTCTGGCTTTCACTATACGTGCATTGATCTCACCACCCCCACCCCCACCACCACTTATGCAGCTACCCAGATACACGAACTTCTCGACTACTTCTATCTGCTCACCATCCAGGGTGAGTACAGGATTGGAATCCTGCCAGTCTTGTAGAAGTACTTTGCACTTCGAAGGTGCAAAGCACATACCATACCTACGTACACTGATTGCCAACTGATTAAGTGCGGATTGCATGCCTTGAGCATTATCGCACAGTAAGACAATATCGTCCGCATACTCAAGGTCGAGAAGTCTTTCTCCAGGCAACAGATCCACACCACCATTACTTACATTCATCAGAGCTGTTTCCAGAATGTCATCGATGGCAAAGTTGAAGAGGAATGGTGAGATTGGGCAACCCTGCCTAACCCCACTACTCGAATGGAACAATGGAGAGAGGTGGTTGTATGCCCTCACTCTGCCTGAGGTGTTTGTATATAGGGCTTTTAGGATGTTAATAAACTTCTCAGGCACACCCTTCTTCAATAGACAATCCCAGAGAACAGTCCTGTCCAACGAATCGAAGGCAGCCCTGATGTCAAGAAACACTACGATCGTTGGCTTTTGATAAGAATGGCGATGTTGTAACATTTGGCGGAGGGTGAAGATATGATCAATACATCACAAATAAGAAATCAAAATATGCACATGACCAAGACATAAGTGATACGAAATTGAGTAATAGACCCATAATTAGTATACAACAGTTTAGGGACGGTATATATATATGTATATATATAACGGTATTCCGTAAAGTAGTCCCGAATGTTTCAGCTCTCCTAATTACTAACCATAATCTACCAAAATTAGTTCTTTACAACTTTTTTCGGTAAATTGTGCTCAACTATTCGTTTTTTCATTTTGTTCCTCAAAAAATAGTACTAAAGAAAGTGGGATATACATTAAATCTGTATGGAAATGATCAAACTTTTATTATCGATTATCTAAGAAGATACGAATGGCTTCCTCAGTTGAGTCGAATTTTTATAAACTTTTTAAAAAAAACACTGAATCACATAATATGCATTTTACGTAAGAACATAAATGCCAAGCACAAATGTGGAACTAAATAAATGAAGGGAATATAAAGTATTGGTATATTTCTAATTTTAGTTAAATTGCAACATGATATGATCTTCACTCCATCCTATTAGTAAATAACTATTTGAATTTTGACTTGGTTGATGAAAATTCGCTGCAAACAATTGGTGTCATGAACTTTCATTGAATAATGGCTGAAAGCTGGGAGTATTTTGTTGGATGTTTCGTTTCAGATTAAGATTTCGTAAAATTTCCAAAAATCGATAAAGTAAAAATGGGAATACAAAAGTAACATGGGTTGGTGAGGCTACAATTTATGGACGACCTTTGAACGACGCTAAAGTGACTTTGAGAATGTTCGCCTACTGACTAGAGTTAAATGAGGGTTATAAAGTTGTGTGAAGGATAAGGATTATGACTTACATTTGATGGTTAGGAATTAGATCAAGTTTTCATCACGAACTGACATCAGCTAAAATGCCAAAACGTTATTAAGTCAAATGGATGAATGAATTTCGCGTCAAAATCAAAAACCTGTTATCCTAAATCTAATTGGTTCGTCCATAAATTATAGTCTCACCACATGGGCTTATTGCTCAATTTATGATTTGATATAAGATTCAATAATATTAAATCCTTAAAAGTAAAATGTGTACAATCGACAAAGTAAACGACTATAACTAGTATAAGGGTTGTGGAGATTATTAAGTTTTTGATTGAGATCATGAACTGATTGATGTTAGACCACCTTTGGAAACCTGGAAGCACAGTAATTTAGAACTTAGACACTATTACAAATAATTAAAATGTGAGATAAAACAATTGTTTTTTTTTGTATGTAGATAATTCATAGGATTAAAACTGTCAATACAAAAATATAATATATATTGTACCTGTTTCAATCATCCACTGACAAGGACTACAAGAACCATAATGACAAGTTAATAAACATGTATGAAAACCAGTTGCACAATTAGATGAAAGCTGACGTTCACATATTTGACCACAAGGTTGAAGATTAGGATCACCACAAGTAGCAGGACGTTGAGATTTTCCACATGGGCAACTCAAAGTGATAGTTGCTAAACATGGAGGGCATGGACCTGGATGACAAAGTCTATAAGAACAAAAATAGACTATAATGAAATTTTATTGTTGACAATAATTCATTGATAAAAAATGTTTAGTTTATATCTGCAAGCAATTAAAAACAATTAGCCGATAAATTGATGAAAAACTCTCGATATACAAAACGGAGATCAATAATTAAATGCATATTTCACATCATAGGAAGGAAAGTAATATATGATTGAGAATATAGTTAAAATGTGACAGTCATTTAATCAAGGTAACATCTGAACTGTGATAATGTCTGCTTTCTTGTACACTACACTAAATAAAAATTAGAGTCGATAGAGGTGAATATAATCTATTTACAAATTTGATTCCATGTGAACTAATTTTGCTTAATTGTGAATACTTATTTTGCTAAGTGAAATGGGAGAAAAATACACTGCTACTAAAATGCAACAGAAATATGAGGTTCTAACTATGACTGTTGGAAAATCATGTATATTGCGTAACTTATATCTGGTTCCAAGTTTCTGTCTATTATTACCATACTTCGACAGCTATACCGCAGTGGTATCAGTAATAAATATTTTCTGCTTGATTTTTAACTGAACCTTTTACCAAATAAAGAATATCGAACTATCAACGGAGATCCAAAACTTAAAAAAATAATCAACATTCTTTCGAAAAAAGTTTGGTGTCAGTAATAGTTTGTGTACGTCGGTAAGAGCTCGTGTGTTGGTGTTTATGAAATGTTCAAGATCAGTGACTGAAAATTTTATTTTAATGTTGCTCAACGTCGATCAAAATGTTGCGTGTGAAATACATAGGCGTATAATTTATTATTCTTGGCAGTATAACAAACCACAAATCCATTATCCCCCCACACACACATGCACACACAAGCGATAGACCATACAAACCCCAACGTTTCCAAACTTCATTCAAAACACATAAAAACAAGATGTGGTCAAAACTACTTTTTGCTCCTAAATTAAGTAGGCATACAATTTAAATCCATGACCACAAATAATATATAACAAAGTGTACATAACCGGAAAATTTTAAATATAAAGCCAAGCGACAGATTTAAGATTAATTGTCTGCAATTTATGAACAGTAAAATGTGACAAAAATTATTACGTCAGACGATAGCTTACAGTGATACATATATATATACTATAAAACGACAACTGTTTGGTAAAAGCTCGTCAAAAAAATACACACTAACTCACCAGTTAATAAATACTCAAGTTTCTTATTCTTCCTTTGTCACCTCTCAAGACTAATGTTTTACGACTGTTTCTTTTCTATCTTAATCCACTTTATCTTACTACAACACATTTGTTTTGGGATTTTTCCCCTATAACTTCAAAAATCTAACTGTTCATATTTTTAGCCAAATCGAAGTTAAAAAGAAATACGCTTACAAAGCGATGCTGTTTAATTAACCAAAATTACTTGATCTTGAATGTTACAAAACATAAGTTTGAATATCTTTAAACTCACTCTGTGCAAAGATGGGTGCACTGATAATCAGACAAATTGGATGCAGAAGTTATACGTTTCACTTTACTGCAAACCTGGTCACAACCATGTGGTATTGTAAAACGAGCAGGGTGAAATTCAGGATTTTCAGTGCGTCCACAAAAGCATCGGTAAGAAATTAGTTGGGGAGACATATCATAATTTGTTTGACAAGATGGACAGCGCCAAACGGAAGATGAACCAGACTCGATGTTAGGTTCCTGGAATGATTTTTTGGCCCAAGACCTGATACATGATAGGTGGTAAATGTGATAACACGTAGCACATGACCAAATTCGGTCAGTAACACGAATTTCTGAAATGCATATCATACACTGATATGTGCTACTGCGCAATTCATCGATAAGGTTACCTGACCAATAGATATAAATATCGCCATAAAATGTAAACACTCAAAAGTAGAAGGAAACAACGTAAGTGATAACTACGTAAAACATATGTCTAGTTAACTTCCAATGACTGAAAACAAGATCAATCAACAAAATAAACACGAGAAATTTGCAGGAAACACTTCGTTCATATCAATTGTTTAAGTGAACACATCACAAAATGTTGAAATCCTACCAAAAGAAGAGGTATGCTTTGGCCAGTTATGAATATACAAGAGGTACCTTTTTCAAACTGTACGGTTATGAGTAAAAGGCAGCATCGTTTATTATCATTCAACGTACGCACACTGGAGCTTACTAAATTGATGTATGCAATGTCAGTGAGTCGATCTATTATTAACAATCACAATTAGGGATGGACGTATACGTATAATAAGGGGTCATTATTTATATATATATACGCGACTGCTAATAGTTGTTAAATTATGAAGGATGGAATAGCGTATAAATCAATAGTGCTTAAATAAAGGTATTCATAGGGTGGTTTAAAAAGTTGACTTTTAAGTCTAACCTTGAATTAGGAATATGTCTTGATTTCTATATAAAAACAGATAGAAATTACTATCCTGGAACAGGAATAATTAGAAAGACTAACTACTATAATAATTCCTAGTCCTAAAATTTAGTCTGATGCTGTTCTTGAAACACTTTATTCAATAACGTTTTATTTTTTGTTAACGTAAAAAGACCGAGGGAGGAAAGTTACATTTGTGAATATATGAAATTTATAAGTATTTGATTAAATCATATTAAGGCACTTTGAAGAGTATGTGACCACATAGCTTTCCTTGTACTAGAAAGAATTCTGTCACTATCACTGTTAGGAAACTCGGTCGCACTGTGGTGCGCGCTGCTTATGCCGACAGACATAAGTAGTATGTAGCACCAAAAGTAGGTTGAGAATACTGAACTGAAGAAAACAGAAAGGGAAATAGAAAGAAATTGACAATTAGAAGAATCATGGATGTAAAAAACAGTTGATGGGAGACTTATAAATGAAGTATTTTATGTATGACTTTCACATTTTAGGAACGAACTCTGTAATTTTGCGTTAAATAATAAATTGATCTCCCCACCAAGTCTTCGTTCAATACAGCATGACTGGAAAATTAAGCTGGTATCCACACTCCAACATAGGTAACAGTATGGTCACAATTTTAAGTTAGTCAGTTATACACAGCATTAAACCTGGTGAAAGTGTTTATCGGTTCAAGTTACCATAACTAATATGAAAATATTTCTACAGAAATCAAAAAGACAAAACGCAAAGAAATCGGAATGACTCTGGTATAAAACTAAACACTGAAAATATCGCGCAAAAAAAGAGAATAAAATAGAGGGATGAGTAGAATATAACACCAGTGTTCAACACCTAAATGAAGATAGAGTGAATAAATATGCTACACTAAAACGCCCTTTGAGCTATATAATATAGTGATAAACCATAAAGCAGTGTTCGTTTTCCAACCCGTTTTACTCGTCGACGATTTCATATACTGATATTACATTTTGGTTTTAAATCCAGATGTAATTTAAAACCGAAACAGATAAATAACCCGCAACATTTCTCCGTCCTGTAAATGAACAATCATAAAAAGGAATAAAAAAGGCAATCCCTAAATATATCTTTTGACTGTTTCTGATTTAATTATTCCGTTGTTTATTATTTGTTTCGTGGCTTATTTCTTCGGAATCAGTTTTATCACTTTTTATGATATATCTCTTGATGCCAATAATGTATCATATTTATATTTATAAAGAAGCTGCAAAACATTAACTCACTTCTCAAATTATCATGATTATTAGGTTTACAATCTACTTTTAAGTTAGCTGTTGGTCGTTGCCGAATAGACAAGGAAGTATCACTTTCTGAAGAACCAGCTTGAACTAAGTAGGTGGACTCAACCGAATAGTTTGGATTGGTTGAAGACTCAGAGGTTGATAGCGTCCGAATAATTTGATGGCCACCAAATACATGTCCGGGATATGGAAAACCTCTTCTGTGGCCAGAGTTTCTTGAAGGATGGCATAAAAAGTCACTGACAGTCATCCAGGGATTATTTCTGCTATACGGGTAGCAAAGGCTGTCACATGGTCTATAATGGTTATGATGTCCAGATCCATTGTTAGAATTATCTGTTACTGAACTTGGACACCAGTAGGTATGTGCTGATGTTACTGGACGAGAAGAGGCACGATGAGTGGTTCCATTTGCTTGACGTATATTTCTATTGCCTCTACATAGACGTGGGTTATTTCTGGCATCGGGATACATTCTGACAACCGATGTTGAGAGATCCAAGCAAAAGTTTGTCACTTAATGAGGATTAATGAAACTTTATGAGAAGCATTTCAAAACAGAAAATGTATGTTTTAAACACGCAAAATCTGTAGTCAACTTTACCTATTTCAAATTTGATAGACATGTGACTCGCATAAGCAACTACTTAAAGTTTTAGCGACGCTATGGGTGCATGGTAATATCAGAAATATAACATTAATTTTCAAACGTTACTCTGCAACTCCTGCTCAGTACGAGCACAACAGAATAGTAGTGAACAAGGTAAAGAGTACAAAATGTAACAAAATGCACGTGTAGTCTTTGTCATAACACAGAACTGCGAACGCATAAGACATATAGTTCCTAAATTTAAATACCATTTCGACTTCCAGAAGAATTCGCGAATCCCGTGTCTTTTGCACTAAACAGAGAATTAATCGTTCACATAAGCCAGCTTACAAATATCATGAGTTCAGTCGACTGTGCTTCAACCATCAGATTTCCTTATCCAACTTACTTTGTAGTACAGCATACATGTCACTTTAGGTTGAGCTCGTAACCGTGCTCATTAAGAAACCTACAAGGCTCAAAACTGAGTCGAAGTACTAAACTATCAAAACAAATGACAAAAATGTCAAGATTTGTCAACTGAGTCATGTATTTGGGAGATTCTCCCAAATATACGTGTAACGGCAAAACCAACTGAGTTATATAATTCAGTTGGTTTTGCAGTTATACGAAACTGATGATGTGACAGTATGTCCGGATTTTATCGAATGGATTTTGAATTGTATGTGGTGTATTCAAATATTACTGATACATATAACGTATGAATTGAAGTCAACCGATGTATGCAATAAAAACAGCTGACCAGTAACGCACGCTTTAAAACTGATCAAATATCCAATATCTTAATCACGAGCTTATATAAACCGACTAATTTCTTCGTCTTCACTTCTTATTTCTTCGGCACAGTTCCAGGTATCATTCGGATGCACTAATTCTAGTCAATTCGATTGTATTTTTCGATATGTGTATCATGTCATTTGAGTAAATGCATATGTCTCAGGGCAGTAGTTTTTCTGGATACCAGCAGTTATCACATTACCAGAGAGGAGGTTGGCCGGTTGCATCAGGAAACTTATTAAAGTGATAAGTCGAGTGCTAACGAAGGGTATTGTTTCCAGAATAGCAAACTATTTAACTAGTTAGTGACGTGTAAGAACAAGTAATTGAAAGAACGAGAGAGAAAACGGAGACGATAATAAGCGAAATAGAACTTAGTTACTAATATATAAGAGTAATAACAATAGTTATGTTGCGAGACATGGATCAGACATAGATGGTTCAAACGGAAGATGATAATCCGTGCGTGAGTACATGCTTGTTAAGTCTCCGCTTGAAGCTATCCACTGAGGGGACTACGGCCACCTTAACTGGAAGAGCAGTCCAAGCGAGATCGACTCCTAGTGAGAAGTGGTAGAATAGCTGATTCGTTGTCCTGTGTTGTGCAGTTTTTTGGGAGTTGCCCTGAAGATCGTGATGTTCTGGTAAGACGTTTGTGCTGAAGTCACCCGGCGTGGTTAGTATGTTCTGCGCGACGATCATATCACTTCGGATTCTCCGAGGGCTCAATAGCAGTAATCCTGAATATTGGAGTCTGACTTCATAATATTTATTCTTTAGCCCCGTCACCCACCTGGTGACTCGTCTCTGTCCTTTGTCCAATAGATTGATGTCTTTCGAAAAAGAGAGATTCTACTGCATTGTGCACTTTAAGCTCAGGGTGTTAAAACGTATCAAGCAGTCTTAGAAACACTCCTGAGCTGACTGAGCCAATTTTTTAGCCAAACGTAGCAGATTACTTTTTGGTTGCTTCCCCGATATAGTTTGAGCTGATGTCCAAGCTCACATTGGTTACCAGTCCTAGATCGCCCTCCCAGGGGACATTTAGGTACTCATTTTCACAGCGGACAGAAGCTACTTACATTCCCGAGGGTTGAACGTTCACGACATGACACTTCCACGGGTCAAGTTTCAACCCATAGTCTGCTGATTCTACTGAAGCTCAAGTGAATCTTTTCCGCCGTTTATGAATACTCATATTTTCGCGTCAACATCGTAGTTTAGTGCCACTGGGCTTATTTTATTGAAAAGATCAATAATAAAAATCAGGAACAGGAGTCAAATTGAGATGGTCTACTGTAACATTCCTTATGTCGAAATCCTTCAACACGTATGCATTCTATTCACTTAAGTAAGAAGTATCTTGTTTGCCAGTTCGTTTCACAGTGAAGATAGAGGAAAGCCAGTCAAACTTATCTTACTTACTCCTGTTACTCCTAATGGAGCATGGGCCACTGATCAGTATTGTCCAGCCCACTCTGTCCTGGGCCTTCTTTCCCAGTTCCATCCAATTCTTGTTCATTTTTCTCATGTCTATCTCCACTTCCCGGCGTAATGTGTTCTTTGTTCTTCCTCTTCTCCCTTGACCTTGAGGATTACAAGTGAGTGCTTGCCTTGTGCAGTAGTCTGCTTTTATCCACTTCCAGCGCTTCTTCTTGATTTCTTCCTCCACTGGAATTTGGTTTGTTCTCTCCCATAGTAGGTTGCTGCTATTAGTGTCCGGCCAGCGGATCCGAAGTACTTTGTGAAGATAACTATTAATAAACACTTATATCTTCTGGATGATGGCTTCCGTAGTTCTCCAGGTATCCGTCCCACATGGTAGAACTGTCTTGACATTTGTATTGAAAGTCCTAACCTTGGTGTTGGTTGATAGTTGTTTGGGGTTCCAGATGTTCTTAAATTGCAAATATCCTGCTCTTGCTTTACCGATCCGCGCTTTCACATCTGCATCAGACCCACCCTGTTCATCAATGATGCTGCCCAAATATGTAAAGGTTTTTACATCTTCCGAATCTTCTCCATCAATTGTGACTGGATTGATGCATGCTGTGTTGTATCGGAGAATCTTGCTTTCCCTTTGTGTATATTGAGACTTACTGCTGCTACACTGGTCGTCTACTCCTGCATTTGTTGTTGCGTTCGCCACTGATGTATAGCAGTGTTTGTAAATGTTACTTGTCACTGAGTGTGGAAAAATATGCACACAATTTACTGAATATTAAGCACCCAATTTCTTCCCTGGCTCGGATTTCTACTGCAGACCCAGTGAGAGTAACTCCCTGTGATTGCAAAGAATCAATCACTGTCTTTCGTCACCCTGGTTTGCTGTTTTGGTCATGAATCAGGTATCAGATATAAGCTGACTCACTCTCTACATAGTGTACCGCTCGACTATTCAACCTAACCTCGGTCACCTGGCCTCGTCCTATTATCGTATTGTCGCACCAGCGTAGGGCAAAAGTGGCAGGTGTTTTAATCCATTCGTTTTATTGCTCATGCTACGAGATTAAACGTGCAGGACCTTCCTTACCTAAACCCGTGTTAGACCCCGTGGATGACGTTATTCTTTTTCATGTGGTCCCTCATTTAGTCATTGACAAGTCCTGTTATCTTTGATAGTATTATGAGTAACATGGCTGACCTGTAGCAGGCTGGATCTTTCCTACTTCCTCCTTTAAAAATCGACAAGAGTGAAATATTTCCTTTCCTTTTGGAATTGCTGTGTAATGTCGGTTATTATGTTAAGCCCATATACTTTATTTTGGCTTTCGCGCAGTCCAGTCTACTCATTCGACTTGAGTCATGTTTTCGCCATGTTAATTATTCGCTTATCAATCTTTACTGTTTTTATATGATCGCATAGGTGTGTGCAATTCTTATCCTGTTCATCACATATCTGTAACTTATTTTCGTGTGATTAAATACTGATTCATGTTTGACCAAATGGAGTTGGTTTTCTCGCCATCTCCACTGCGCGTCGTTTCGCTTCGCTCTGTTCCATTCGCTTCATATACAAAATATATGTATTCAAAAATCCATTCTCGTTATTTGATTCATTTAATTCCGTTATTGACCAACGCGATTTAAGCCGATGGTTATATATGAGGATAGGCTACATACATATTTCAATAACAATCATTCATATGATCTAATTGAAGTCAGATCTCGGGTCACTAAAGTGGGGAGCCCGTCAGCAAACATAGTCCGATCTAAGTGACGACAAAATATGGGGCCCCACATCTGTCGCTCCGCTGATTTCCTGAACAGGCCATGTACCGATATACTGACTACTCTCTTGCAGTGGTGTGGCGTTGCAGTTCTGAAGTAGCAGGTACTGTATATCGACACTCCACTTCTCGATTTGTGTATCGAGTCCCACCAAGAATGTTTTATGGCTTGCATGCTCGCTTCGTCGTCCGTGATGTCTGGTGTGAGCCATATTTCAGTCAGAACTATAGTCTTCAAGCTCCACTGGATGCATATGTTTCTAGAGCCTATTAGTTTACTCCCTAGCCAATTTACGTTGGTGGGGAGACACTTGATGGTTTACTTAACCACATAATGCTCCTCTACAGTAGTATCTGTTTTGTTGTCTAGACCTACTGAACCCAGCAGTCATTCAGAGTTGTGAAATGACAAACATATCAAGGAAATTAGGGGATACCTGTACGATCGACCATTTCAATTCACTAACAATTACACTGAAGACTTTGACACCCTAAAACTTGACAGAGACGTCGAGCAAGTGTCTTGCTTATTAACATCATTATAGATATTAGCAGCCATATCTTTTCGATTGTTGGTAATGAAATAGTTTCATCTTATACACTTATGTATCACGTATCGCCTCCTATAAAAAACTGTATTGCGTAAGTCTTCATTATTTCAATTTTCTCGTGACGTGGTTCGTATGGAGGCAAGTACGTTCAGGCTTCCATACACTGAGGATCCGGGAATATAGAAGTTCCAAAAATAGTGAAAAAAACAAAGTGGTCAGTGGTGCTCACAGTGCTTATGTTACCAAAAGAAGCGCACCAAATATTACAGTGATCCAGTTAATCCATACAAGGTCTTTGCTTGACGAC